AATCCACATTAGAATACTTAAAGATTCTTAGTATTCAACTTGTTGAGTCTCGGACGAGATATTTATAATGAAATTCAGTTGGACGATGAGAAGGAGAAAATATAACTACTTGGTCGATCTCAGTTAAATATAGTAGTGGTATATTTTTTTACAGATTTACTTTCAGTGACTGCCAAATCTTGGATAGAAATAATTTGGCAAGAAATGTGATTTTATCTAGTAAAATGACGTAAATATATTACCGAAATACTATAGTGTTCACTTTTAAATGATACCAGAAGACGTGTATCGTATATATATATAGATTTTACTATAGCCTTATATATTGTAATTTCCATGCGACAAACTTTATTTTTATTTGTTTGCTATTCATTCGCTACAGTATTAAGGTCTGCACGGACATTGAATATTGTATGTCTCAAAAAAATATTCGATTGTACCCATTTAATTCTCATATATTTCCCAGACAGGTATATGTTTTGTAGCTAGTGTCATATCGTCTGTTATTATCATAGTTGTTAATTTTGTTAACTTTCTTAACTGTGAAACACAATGTTATTGTAGTAATGATTTCATTGAATGATTCACAAAATTACTGTTGAATATCCCGTGTATAACTAACGTAAGAGTTTTATTAACTTAAATTGTCTAAAAGGTTTAAAACCTCTTTGGTTCTTTATGACAGTTTTGTCGAGTAGTATTTTGTTTTTTCTCTTGTGTGAATAATAGTGAACTAAATATTACAAATCAACAAAAATTAGCTTAAAACCATTCTTCGCTAATAGCAGTATTTTTCATTGACAATGGCGTTCACTTTTTTCTATGTGGCTATTTAAATAAAGCGTCGTTTTAAACGTTCCATTTGTAAACTACCTCATATCCGTTTTGTGATCATGTTGTTTATAATATGGTCAATTGGCCAGTTTTATTTCATAGGTTTAATCCTTCATTAGCCGCAATAGCTAGATTAGGTTGATGCCCGTGTAATGGACACCGGAGAGGATCAAGTCGACTTGACAAGTCTTACGTTATTGATGGTTTTACTTAATGGGTGATCAAAGATATAAAAGTTTGGATACAGAAACCTAGGACAATATAAACGGTGTTGTACCACACCGTTACAATCTTACATAAATATACTATTATTTGTGGAAATGTTTATATATCTAAATATTATGATACCATACAATGATAATTTTATACGGTATTGCTATGATGTACCTTGTTTTTATTGAGATTTCTATTTGCTTATGACATTCACTCACAAAAACTTCAGTTACTCCATGATCATGGCGCTTACAACAGCGGCGAAATATCGGGATCTCAATAAAAACAAGGCACATGATAGCAATCTCTTAAAAAACTATCAGCCTGTTAATGTTCCCACTTCTGGGGCTCAAGCCTTCTCTATGGATGGAATCGAATTCGATAGGGAGAATGGGCCTTGACCCACCACGATAGCCCAGCGGATTAGTGGGTATAATGACTGTAGATGCAACCGGGACCGACGGCTTAAGTTCGAGGGAATAAAATGTTCATCACCCATCCTATGACCGGCCACTTCGCCATCGAGCTCAAAAAAAACTATCATTCTAATCTACATGACCATGAAAGCTTAAAACGACATATTTTTATATCAGCTCAAAAGTTGCGTGGCAATTTAAAGTTCTGAATTTTAAATTGCAAGATTTACAAGTTCTTCATATTTGATGAATAGTCATTCAGTGGAAATTTAATTACATGTCAAGAATGTATTTAGTTATTATATTTAAGTATAATATCTCTAAAGATACGTTTTATATAGTGCAGACGACCTCTAATCGAGTTTATATTTGTACTGATAATGTCAATATAACACTTGACATTCATAAGGGTTCTGTCTTCGTCTGGGTGAGGTCAATGTTGATATCGAAATTCAAATCGTGTAAATATTTTCAGCTTGATTCTGACATTCCTCTTAGTTCTATTACTTTGCATCAGAAATCCAGGAACTGTGTAATTGGATATAATATTATTCTCTCTGTTTTGTGAACAATGAAAACGTTATTCGGCTACTAATTGTGAATTATTTTGTTTGTCTGTTACTTCTAATTTGTTTTACGACTTCGCTAAATCAATATCTCTGTAATGTTTCCGACTGTTTGTATCCTGATCTGTTCCAAGTTGTTCCATATCTTTGGAAGTTGCGTAATTAACTTTTACGAGTGGCATTATGAGTCTTTCGACTATTAGTTTTCGCGTCTCGATTTCGAGTGGAGTTTAGGGTTCTGTAGGTATGGTGGAAAATGAATTCTAATCACTTGGTTGTGTGTCTGTTAGTTTCTTCAGATCCCTTTTTTTTATGGAACTCGTGAAGGTATAAAGTTGATATCGAATACTCCATATCATAGTCTCGAAATTCGCAAAACTATAAACTTGCGTTAATCGAAATATAGAATTTTTTGTTGTATATTTCGACACTCGCTTTATTAAGGTAATCAATACTCGACAGATATTTTCCATTGACCTAGAATCATCGTATTTGCAATGATGTTTTACAGAAAATTGCGATTAATTCACAATATAAGTAAAGTCTGAACTTCAATATTACTCGCCATTATAAGATTTTGTCACTTGTGTGATTTATATTAAAAATAAAATGTTATTTTTATAACCCTTTCAATTTCTCAATGTTTTTATTATAATGAAATACGGTCAATTTTGCTCTCTGTTACTCTAGGTTTGGATGGTGACAGATATTTTTAAATCAGACCAGCTCATAGTTTTTAAGTTTATTAATGAATAAAGTAAAGTTATACTCAAATCTTTCCGCTTAATAATATGAATGTACCGATGAGACGTCTCATCGGTATTCTAAATACGTGTGCAACAATAGGAACGTATACGCAAATTGATTGACAGACAGATAAACTTTAACCACTTATGTGTGATGTATAAAGAATTGTAGTTGAATGTTGAACATATTATACACCAACTAGCTTTTGCCCGCGACTTCGTCCGCGTGGTAAAGTTACTTTGAGCAGCATTTCTAACGAATATTTATTAATTATATCGTGTAAAATAAAGTTTCTATAATTTGTATAAAGTTAAAGTTTCTATAGAGTTTCTGAAATAAAGTCCCCCTATTTTATTCCCCCATTTTATCTCCATGGGGGTAGAATTGTTCAAAATCCTTTCTTAGCGGATGCCTACGTCATAACATCTACCTGCATGCCAAATTTCAGCCTGATCCGTGCAGTGGTTTGGGGTGTGCGTTGATAGTAGATGTCAGTCAGTCACCTTTGAGTTATATATATTTAGATAGATTAATCATCTACTTCACAATTAAATCAGTCACAAAAGTTCTGCGTAACACAGAATAATAATATTGATCACCTCAAAAGATTTGAATTATATCTTATTACAAACTAGTACTGAATTAGAACTGCTAGAGCAACGCATTTTGCAATTTTGCCGTTATATTTATCATATAGTTTTATTTATCATTCAGGGCAGTTATATGTAATAATTATTCTGATAAAAATTTTGTTCAATAATATTATCGTCGATAGGGGAAATTCAAGGTTAACTTAAAGCTGTTTCCGAAGTTTTTGGTTTAGGTATAGTAACATTTTTTATTTTCTATACTTCATCAATGATATTTTAAAATTTCGAGGCCGCTACAAACTGTAGACCGGTACTAGCTCAATTCGGGAGCTCGAAAATGCCATCATGCATTTTATGTAAATCTTATTCTGCAATTTTGGGCTTAAGCAAAACTTTACGAAAAGCGGCTGCTCCAAACCATACTAATAGTTATTCTGCACTATTCAATAAGTGGAAATAATATTTTTTTTGGTTGCGAGATCAAAAACACCAAAATTGACCTTTTTACGCAAAAATGTCACAGTCGAAATGTAATAACCACAGATTGACGCCGATAGTAACCGTATAATAATGAAGCATTAGGAATGTATACTAATTAGAATGCAACAAAACGATAGATACAATAATAAAAAAAACATGCTATAACTCGGAAAAATTAACATGACACCTAAGTGTCTATTCTATTTATCCTCGAATGAAACTTCGGAAGAAATGTGATTACTTCTTTAAATTGTATTAAAATGATATCCCGTGAAGATTATCTGTGGTTCAGAAGCAGTGACAGGTCCTACCTCCGTTGCATCATAAATTATTGAAAGCGCATTTGTATGAGCATTCCGAAAACAGACAAAATTTAGAAAGCACGGTTATAATCCGTGTATGGGGAATGGTCAGAGATTAGTACTATTATTAGTACAATGGTAAAATGCAACTAGTTGAGATTCTATTGAGATCTGATAATGCGTAAATATTAGAACAATAATATCCTGCCGGAGGCAGTCATGTATCCTCCGCTTTAACAACCAAAAAACCTAGATGCCGTCGCGCATTGCAAAACCACCGCGATAGTTTGAAAAACATGAGCTTTAGCTGCCTTAAAAAATCCAGGTCGCTGCTTAAAAACTATGAGGGACATCTAAGAACACTTTGAAGATACTACAAATTAAGCTCCTCGGTGATCTAAAAAAACCTCTCAACATTTAATAAATAGTGACATTTACTACATGTTACATTACAAACGCACTATCATTGTTATTTTTACTTGTCGAAGGGTATTATGTTATAAGTACTTTTCCTTTGATCGACCTTCTCAGAAATCGAATTAGACCTAGAAATACAGTTATCCATTCAGTACCATCCAAATCCAACTTAATAAGCTTTCAAAGAAACGTGTAGAATTTTCGTCTTGACAATGCTAGAGAGCTTTTAGTACTGTTAACAGCATATCAGGTTATCTTAAACTGTCAAATAAACCACAATTGGTTGGAACACGAAAGCTTCCAGAAGCTGTCAAGTTTCACAAATTTGTCTATGATTATGTGTTTATTTTTTTTTTACTGAAGTTGATGATAAAACACAGCACAGCCTTTGTATGGTAGGAGTCTGTTTATAATGTACGCCATGTTTTGTTCCAGAGGGTGGCGGGTAGGAAGAGAGCGCGCGCGGCGCGGAGGGACGCTGCCCGCGGCAGGTGACCGACGGTTCACGCGGCTCATGTGGGCAGCGGGCGCGTGCTGCTCGCGCCAGGCAGGTTTGTGTACACTACACTTATCTAATAGTAACATTCAGTCAATAGGGACTAGGGCAAGGAGCTCGAGGCGCAGTAATGAGCACCTTTGGCTGTGTTAAAAAAGAGACCTTATTAAGGGACTTCGCTATCCGTCCCTCTGTAAGGATACAGCCTTAGCTTTAGGTCATGAACCGTGAAATTTTCAGTCTTCCCTTTCTCAAAAAAGGAATAAATAAATATTTAATGGGCTCCCAATGCTCCTATACAACAAAAGTATTTTTTTATAGATAATGTTACGGAATCGTTCGTCCTCGAGTCTGACTCGACACTTGGAAGGTTTTTTCATTTCGAGCTCCGTCCTCTGGAAGGCTCCATAAATCGTTGGCACCGACAATTTACGCGGGGCTCGCGTAGTTTTAGACAGGATCGTCTTGTTTTTTGGTTTTCTATCCCGGTGTCTTCGATGATAACCCCGGGAAGCAAAAATGTCCCGTCTTGTGAACGGGGACAAAATTTTTGTTAGAAATGAACAAAATCAGAAGGCGAAAAGATTGCTTTAGCTTCTATGCCAAATTCATTAGTTGTCCAACTTTGAGGTTATTTGAAACGTATTCGTTCAAGTGTTCGTTCTATCACAAGTGTATGGGCTATCACACTATACCAAAAAAGGGCATCTAATAGCACAAGAATTCATGATTTTCAACTCCCAGTTTTCGTGAAAAATAAACCATGACGATTTTTATCCAAAGCAAAAGGTCACGTTAATTTTAATCCGCTCTCCTTATTTAATTCTTAACATTAAGAAGATGCTGCTGGAGCATAGGCCATGCCTATGTAGAAAAATAGGCAAGAAGGGACATAATTGACCGTATGAACCGAGGTAAATTTGTGGATGTTAATACGTCTGCAGAAGATGCAAGAGAAAGAATGTGCTTTGATTATGAGATCAGTTTTCGCATCTTAAAGTTTTTTATGAATAGGTAAACATCAATAAAGAAATTATTATTTTAATTATTAAATCTCTTTAAAGAAATAAGAACTCTGACTAAATTTTTTTTCTACAATAACGATAATTTTCTTATTGTTACAGATGCAATAGGTAAATGACTAGATAAGGCTATTTATAAGCCCTTTGTATTATTACGAGACCGCATGAGTGCTGGTTGTTATTCCTAATGCCCCACGCGCACTATTCAAACTGGACCACAATGGGATTTTAAAAATTTAAATTATCGGTATCGAATCAACCATATTAGAGATGTGCCAAGTAGAAATTATACAGCGAAAACGAATACAGAGTTTTATTCGCTATGTGTTTAACTAAATTTAGTTCTTGACAGAGTTACTCGGTTTAAAAAAGGTTAAATATCTGTTGTATTTCACCTCCAAAATGATTCCATATCAATTAATGAATCAGCCCGATATATATTCCCGCGTATACAAACCACTTTCTCAAAAAAGGTTTTAATGTAGTTATTATAAGTCGAAGTAAATACAATTAAAGAATAACCTTTATTGTTTAGTTAGTTTGATCTAATTAAATTAATAGAATACTCGGCATTTTACGTTCAAAAATGCCGATTACAGAGAAAATAAAGAATGAGTGGTCTGCTCATCTTCGTAACATTTTAATTTAATACAAACTTGTAAATCAAGAGGAAACCTAGAGAAGCGATTTTTTCTTTAATTGGGTAGTCCGTTGCTAAGGCTAATATAATTTTGTCAATACACTTCATCCCTTTCGTTACATTTAGTTCCTAATTTAAATTATATATACATATTTTTATCAGCCCTTATAGATTAAATTTATCAGATTATAGAAATAAAATTTATTTTATTAAGTTCTATAGATGATTGAATAAGTTTTGTAAGCTCGAGTTTCTCAACTATATCTGAGTTTGTGCGTAAATGTCAAGGTATTTAATATTACCTATACTATGCATATTTCTATAAGTTATCAAACTAAATCTTTATAATTGAAGTTTAACGAGTCTTTAAAAAGGCATACCTTATAAATTTTTTGCTCGTTAACTTTAAATTGAACTCAAGCTTACTGTTACTTTTTTACTACATCATTTGTGTCGTATTCATATTATATTAATATGGCGCACGCGTTTTATGATAAAGTTTCTTATGGTTGGAACACACTAAGGAGAATTTGGTGTGCTAATAATTACGCATTAACCGTTATTTTAGCCGTTAATTAACGCGATTTCTGCGACACACCTAGCAAGGGGCCTAAAATTTAATTATTTTCGGCATTTCTCCTTAGTGAAGCCCGTTCATTACAGTTCCTTTTTAAAGGTGATTTACCAAACAAAACTTTAAATCTCGTTCAGTAGTAAAGAAATCATTTTTAATTTATACCCACATATAAGTAGTTAGTTGGACACTTCAGAATTATTGCTTAAAACAGGATATGACCTTTTATTTAACGAGTGACTCCGTTTGCAACAGCGTTTGCTGCAGCAGCGCCGAAATATCGGGAACTCATGAAATATCCCGTTTAAGCAAATCATTCTGATGTTAATGACCCTTAAAATAATAATACACAACATCGAAGTGCATTGACAACATTGTTAACAATGAGTCCCACCGCGGTCCATATAGTGCGCTTAGGGCTGCGCCGCTGACGCTGCTTGTGTTGGCAGCTAGCAGGCACTCATGCGTGACGGAGTGATTAACCGAAGCGGCGTGGCAGGCGAGGGCGGTGCCGCGGCGCGCACGCCGGTCAAGACCTTCCAAGCGTACCTGCCGCCCGCGCACCGCACCTACAGCTGTATACACTGCCGCGCGCACCTAGCCAGCCATGACGAACTTATATCTAAGGTAACAATCCTTTTTCTCACTTCATTTTGGCACATCAAAAGTCATACGACAATAACTCTTAAGGCGCTGCTATACCTCAGCTTACGTTCCCTTACGAATACGCATCGAGGGTAAAGAGTTAAAGACGCGCTCGATTGATTTCATATATTTTCATATATTAGTAAAATCGATGCAAAAAAACCTATTAAGAGTCATCTTTGCGATTTGTTTCTGTTGAGCCAATTATTGAAAATTATGTTTAAATATTTGTAAAAATATTTCTTTCGGCTGTTTGGGTGGATTTCCTGTACATTGATGAAAATACCCACTGTCGTAGCGAAAAAGTAGCAAGTGCTTGAAAACTTCGTCAGTCCTGTTAGGTCCCGCGTAGCTCAGTGGTTAGAACAGTCGCCCTGATTGCCAAAGGTCATGGGTTCGAGTCCTATCTCAGAGTGCCAGGGACAAAGTGGATTTTAAAGCATTTTTCATTAAGAACATTTTTCATAAAATTAATGTTATTTGGCAAATAATAACTTAAAATAAAATTGGTTTAAAAAGTGGTGATTTCGTACAACCTCGCCTTAAATTCATGACGACTTGTTAATATACAAGAGAGCACTATGTTGGTTCGTCTATGACATTGAATTAGCATATAGGTTTGTTTTCCATCACCTTTTATGTCGATATCGTTAATTAGGCCGATAATTAGAACTTCATTAATCATCATAATTACTGGAAGGCTAGGACATTCAGTATTATTAGCCGTAAATTATACATTTGAAAATTAACTGTCTACAGCTTACAGTTGAACTCACTGTGGGGCCTAATGAACATTACCATAGAACATATAATACTGCGTAAATAATAAATAAATATTAATAGACTTTCGGTCAATTGCACAAACGTCCATTAAGATTTAACGACGCCTCTAAGCTCTAATGAATGTCAAATTTGTATCAGTAGTGTCGCTATAATAAACTAATGGCAATTTTAATGTACGTTTGTGCAACTGGCTGAACATTACGTAAATTGCTGAGATTCCAAGATGAGTGGCTAAAGCCCTCGTATTATGGAATATCTGACACAACAAAAGTAATACAACACCCAGACCCGAGACAATGTAGGTTCATCCATTTTCTACGTAGACCTGACTGGGAATGGAACCCGGGACTTCAGAGTCGGGTGACAACTTAAAATCGGCGTGCGAACCACTCGGCTACAGAGATCGTAGTAGCATCAACGTTGCCCTTTCCGAACTCCATTTTGTTGATAATTTTAATGCATAAAGTAATTTCACCTACGCCATAATAACTTTATACACTACTCCTAATTAACCTACCTACACTTTAACTAACGGAATTACTTTGTTTTTTAACATTTATAATTATGATACACACCCGAACTATTTTCACGTAACTGCATATTTACCCCCTTCTAATTCGTGTTAATAACTCATTAAACCCTAAGTTTACTACGCCGAAAAAGGATTCTAAAATAATATGCCTACATTATAGCGTTAAACAAACTAATCGACAAAGCTATAATTAATACAGTACAAAACACCCCAACAAACTTTTCATTTACAGTTTTGTTTTGCTCAAACAATATGTCAAAAGTGCTTAATTACAGTAATACAACCCCTATCTCTTGTTCCTTTATAAAGCGTATTATACAGTTTAACTTCAAGAATGGGAATCTTTTGTATTCTGCAATTCTTCATTTTGTGCCTCTGCGCGGAGAAACCTGAATAGCTTTTGTAGGAGAGACGGAAGAGTTTTAAAACAGATGAAAGCTGATACAACCCTGATTTCTCAAAATTTTAAAAATGTTAGCGTGTTGGCGTTGTCCCTTATTAAATGTTTACCACCAAACGCTAGTATGATACCAACAGCTAGCTAGCCAATCCTGCTAATTTTTACGGAAGAAAAATTGATAACCAAAAACATCCTGGTCTCAGGAAAAATAAAATCTTTAATTAGCCTTTAAAACCAGTTACAAACTGTTATATTAGGTGATCCGTATTAACGCATCGCATGTGATAGAGTCAGAAAGATAGTGGTTGTGCGATACCACTCCGTGGAATCCTGGAGGATAGGCAACACGCTATCATGCTTCCTCTAAAAATGCTTCTGAGCAACAGATATGGATAGGGCAACGGAAAAAGCTAATTCTTGCTAACAGATATAGGTCAACCCTTAGTTAATTTGTTTCGGTGATACCTCGTAACTAAATCACCTTGTTTGTGATGAAATAGACTAGCTTACCGCAAGCTTCGCCCGCGTGGGTTTATGTACACTACAGGACGTATTGTACATAAACCTTCCTTTTCAATATCTAATAAAAAAACTGCGATTTTATTTTATACTATCTATTGATTAGATCATTATCTTATGGTGCTATTGTGATGTTTACAGTCGTTCCAAGGCAGCCAGGGGCGCGCATATCTCTTCAATTCAGTGTAAGTATTACCAGCAAATTAAATAAAGCACTAATATTAGGAACGGAGAAAAACACGCCATATGTCGGCTTTTTTATAACGCAGGGGAAATGCAACCTTAAGCCTGAAACCAGGGCTCACCGACCCCGCACCCGTCCTGAAAAGGTCATGCTTAAGCCAGTCCGGCCTACCTGGTAATACCCGCTGCGAGTACCCTCCGGGATCCAGCAAGAAGCCTAGAGCATGCACTAAAGAATACCTTGGCAACTTATGACCTTACTTTGCCCGATGTGTAAACTTCTAATGTAATTGCTGTGCTGTTGAAGTAATTACTTCTTCTCAGATATGTGATAGTGCCGCTCTTGACATAATACTCATAATTTCTAAACAGCTCCATAAAAGAAAGGACAATTTTATAATAGTAGTTTATAATACTTCAGTATGGAAAAATGCTGAGGAATGTTCCAGACTACTATCTACCCACCACCTACTACTAACTCCAGTCTACTATTGGCCAACATCCTAGTACATTCATGTAGAGTGTCTCCATTTGCTCAAAATTTTTATTTAGTTAACCCATCGCATTGGTGATCGATCTTGTCTCATGGTTTGATTCCTTTCACTTCCCTGGACAACCCAACGCTCTATGCAGTCCTTGTTTCATTTCTAGACATTTCTAGACTTGGGCATTACCAAGGAACTTGAAAATTCGAAATTGATAAATGCTAAGTTATTTCGAATTCTTGAAGCATGGAGGCACGGAACGCGCTTGCAAAAGCCTGTTCATGACACTTCACCGTTTTACTCACGAAAATTTACAAAAACTCTTTAAAAATAACAACAATCGCTGATTATATATTAAGGCTAAACATAAACTGTACGAGTACGAGAGTACTATAAAAGTAGCACTATATTACACATCGCATTAAGATTTTATGATAAAGCACCATGCAAGTGGCTGTTAACAAAAGCGTTGTGTTGATTGCAGTGTGAATGTCGGCTGTGGACAAGCGGAAGAGCGGGTTTTGCTCACAGGCCTCCATGCGGTAGCAGATATATACTGCGAATGTTGCAAGACCATGCTGGGTTGGAAATATGTAAGCATAATACTTTTTACACACGTTTCTCAGAGAAAACATTGTTTTTGATCAATTTCTGTAATAATCTGTAATTGGCTGTCTGACTTATATTTGTAATATTATTTCTGTTTATTAGCTGTAAGGTCTATGATATAGTAAATAAATAAATGCATATGCAAAGTAATTTGATTATTTTCGCCTTAGAATAACTCAGACGGTTGATTTTAGAGTATTTTTCATAACAATTAAACTTTTCTCTTTCAAGGAGCACGCGTTCGAATCGAGTCAGAAATACAAGGAGGGGAAATTCATAATAGAGTTGGCACACATGGTGAAGGAGAACGGGTGGGACTAGGACAGGGAGGCGCGCGCCGCCGCCCGCGACGATAACGCGGCGGGCGACGGCTCGCGCTGACTCACACGTCCGTCCCGCTCGCACTCACACCGACGCACATAGCTCGCTCCCTCTCTGCCTTACTCGGACGTGCTCGCCGTCACTCGCGTCTCGATCGAGCGCGCAATGCACCGACTACCTTCCCTGAAGCATGCACGTACTTACGCCTTACTTTCGGGCGTACATTGCCGACGTATTCGTATCGTATCCGCTCGACATAGTGCGGAAACAAAAAAGACACGAGTGCCGTTGTGATGTTATATAGACTGGTCTCGAAAGCGGTTATCGGCGCGCAATATGGACTTTCCGATGCGTCGAATAGTTCCAGCTGCGGCATAGGACATAAAAGTGCACCGCGAGTGTTCCTCTTCGATTCGTAGAGCGGTATACACGATGTTGCCCGCGCTGGGTAATTTTGTCCGTCGACGAGTGGAGCCGTCGTGATGAAGAGACAGGCGAGTTGCGTTATAGTGCTCGCCTACGCATGTGTCCCGTGATCGATTTAGCCGTTAACAACCGGAACGTACAGTACGGTTTTGTAGCGCTATCGCCTATCTCAAAGCTACAGCAAAGGGCTTACGATAGTGAAAATATATCAATATTTTTTATTATTATTAATGTATCAACCTAAGGTTTTGTTAAAATTTTTATTTAAGTAAATTTAAAAAAATGGTTTCGATTTTTTTGTCGTTTCAAATTAATAATAAAAAATATCATAAACGTATCCATTGATTAAACAATACAATTATCTCATAGCTATAGCTTTCCTATGACTTTGTGATAGGCTATAGCCAATAGTGTACGGCGAACCTATTATACGTTGCCGCGCGGGAAACTGTAGGCGCCAATCATTAGATGTGACTATTTTTATCATGCTGAATTATTATTGAAAGATCGGAGCCTACCGATTCTCGTCGCCGACAACGGATAAGCTATATCATGTAGAAGTGTATTTTGCGCATTTGTTTAAGTACCTACTGATATGAGAAATTATAGAATACGATCGATTGCGAGACACAATTCTCGGTGTGGTAATGGTGATTTTACACCGGCGAAGCGGAAACGGATGTGATACGTGAGAATATCTTGCTTACTTTCACACAAAAACTATACGTTTAAATAATGTAAATTAATAAATCATATTGTTCACTGTTCCAGTCATGTGTGAACCGTGTATTATTGTCCAGATACATTATTTCAATTCACGTACTGTGTCATTCGTTATTTTTATGTCAAAGATGCGAAAAGTAATTCAAATTCCGCCGTTCATAATTCAATGGGGATTCTTGAAGAATATTAAACACGTATTTTTTTTGCGTAATCAGTAAATTATGGCGACACATTGAGTCAAATGTCGCATGACGTGATGTAACATCACACCTATGTACATCTCTACATAGTTGTGTCGTAGCAAGCCCTCTTTAATGCACAGGCATCATAGCCGTTTCTTGTTGAATTGAAGCACAAAAAAATACATATATAATATTTTTCTATTATTTCTGAATGACAGACTTAATACATTTATTTTTTTACCCACTCATCATACCAATAGGGATGACGACTCGGTAATAAAAAAGAAATTCTATTTAATCCGTCAGTCAGATGATAAAAAATATTATGACGGACAAACGAACGAACAAAATTAAGTCGTCATCCCAATTCTCCCGCATCGCATCCAATCCTCGACGCGGTGTGAAATCACCTTAATAGTATAGCGGGGCAACCGTCGCCTCGTAGCGGGTTTGGCTTAAGCACCGCCAGTCAACATAAGGTTATATTTGTTATACATAAGTGGTCGATCTCAACCGCCCCCTTAAGGGGCTATGGGTTTAGAATTTAATTATAATAATAATAATTTGGTGACATTTGTTTACCGCGTCGTGAGGTGTCTTAGTTTTTTTTACTTTACGTACAGTCAACAACACGTCAGGAATGCGATCGCGTAACCCTGGTCATGATTCTAACCATAGGATACATCTTAGCGATATTACGATGATATTTCGTTTAAAGTTACTACTTTGACAAGTCTTTTGGTAGATTTTGGGATAAATGACCAAGTTGGGTAACACTGCTATCATATCTATAATCATTATTCTTTTTCGTTCTTTCGTCGTTACTAAAGTACATCTAAAGTGGTAAAAGGAAACGAAATATCGACATAATATCGATAGAATGTCGAATCCTATAACAAGAATCATAACTAGAATCAGGCGGTCGCTCTGCAGGTTATGATAACTACCTCCAATAAATTTAAAGCACTCATCTGTGGAAAAAGTTGAGATTAGTTTGACATTTGAGGTATTGCAGTGATCCGATGTGCTGTTGAATGTACTACTTACGCATCTTACTGTATTAAGAGAACACTAATACTTTCTCTTGTCCCCTTTAACCTGTGATAAGTATGTTAGTATAGTATTTTTTGAATTTCTCGAACGATCGTTTTTCGTGAAGTTGCTCAGAAAGTAATGCAGATTGTTCCTGATGATTTCAGCTGTACATACAATTTGCTTGTTTATAATTTTTCGAAGCAAACTAGTCGACGAGTAATGTATGCGCAGGAGGATCATTATTACTATTAATATTATTTTTTACTTTGCGCCTGATTTAGTGAATTTATATTTTTAGTTTTAATTTAAGACTCGTACAGTTGACAAAAAAAAATGATGAAAAAAAAATACAAATTTAGTTTAACTTAAAATACGCGAGTAGTTGAAATCGTAGTGAGAATTCGTGAAAAATAATGAGGGGGGGGAGACTGCAGTTTTATTATTCATTTATTGTTTCCATTGTGTATTACCTTTAATTAGTAGTGGAGATTTTTTAATCTATATAATTTAACTATGATACACACGGCTGCACGTCAGGTTAACCCAATATGTGAACGCGAGCGATTCTGCACTTTAACGTAAACGAGTTAAGATATAAAATGAGTTGAAGTTGTTTCTGACTCTATTGTAAAACCCGATGCGCCGCTGTATTTCAATTTGTAATAGTTGTTTATTGTTAAGTGACCGCATGAGCTTCGATTATACTTATAATAAAGCGTATTCAATGGATATAATAAAATAAATGTACGCCCGGTTGATTTTTACCGAGGAATTTGTGTCATGGGAAATAAAATAATAATATATAAAACCCCATAGAGTCGCGCTAGTAACACCACGTCCTATTTCAAAATCAAATCGTATTATAATATTTCGATATGTGTATAATGTACATTATTAAAAAAATATATAATATTGCAAAGAACTTCAGCCGTCGCATACAGTTTTATCAGGAGCGTTATAACTGCCATTAGTAATATACAGTACGTTTGTATATACATTAACTTAATGATGTTTACATGAATATAAAAGTCAAAATTAATGGTGACTCGTTTGATGTCCGATAAGAAGGAAACTATTGATTTTACATACTTAATTTTTCTTTTTAGATTGCTGAATCAGTATACGTTTGGTTAGGTTGTTTGTCCACTACATCCTGTCATATTATGATTGTATTAGAAACATACGTGCAATTATATGGTCTCTGTATTGAAAAGCACCAGATGGCACCCACACAGCAGGCTAATTCTGATAACGTATACGTAATGCGTCTCAATATAATCTTAACTACTTGCGTTTTGCCATTGTACTGTCAAGCTAAAGTCCAATATTGTTAGAGCAATATCTTCCACACAAATCAACGTTGACAGATATGTAATAATATTGGACTTCAGGTAGATAGTACAAACGCACAATGTAAGTAGGTGATATTTTATTAAATTGAATTGAAATGCTATTGAAATGCATTTATTGCATTAAAATTGGCCTGCAGATTGTAGTATTTTGTTTTGTGCTCTTATAATTATGACTAAACAAAAACAATGAAGAAAGTATGGTTTTTTTTTGTGACCCTATATTGTACGGGTCATATACTGCCGTAGGACGCGGCTGATCCGAGCGCTAAGTGTAAGTTTTTTTGACGTTTACGTTCACTGTCGATCGTGAGCGCGTTAAGATTTTAGTATGGAATCCGGTACAGCGCCTCTAGCGGTAACTACCAAGAACTACAAATCTCCATACAAATTCATAACGCGCTCACTAGTGAATGCGTTAGCGTAAAACTTACACTTACCACTCTGATGATGTTTCTGCAGCGGCAGAGCATATCGACTGTTTTCGATCTTAGTATTTTGATAGCACGGTCATAATATGGGACGGTGTAATGAAGAAGGTCCTTAAGCGTTAAGACGTTCGTGTTGACTTAATTATTCTATTTAAATTGTATAAAGGGCATAGCACATTTAATCGACTCAACAGCAGCTCGGCATTGTCTCGTTGATTACAGCTACCACTAAGAACTTTAATGTGCTTTTTATGACATTATGAAATATATGATATACGATATCGCTGGGTTGGACTTGTCGTATAAGTGTGCTGTGACCTTTATTTTCAAGTTTTTGAAAGTCAGACTGATGCAGTCGTAACAGTGACTCCAAACACAATGTGGCTCGTAAAATTGTCTGTCTAAATAGTCGATTTGAGCCGTATGCTTAATTAAATAAGATACTTTTTACAGTCATTTAGATTAGATCATTGCTACTGCATTCGTCTGAGCCTATTTACTCTAAATAATGCTTCTTGATATATCTCTATAGAAATTATAATATGTTGGGCAAGCATGGTTTTATTTGCCAGAAGCTATCCACCTTGGAGATTAAGTAGTCAACATTACAATAATGAACTCTTATGAATATTGTGTACCTAAATATGTCAATCAAACAACAAATTGTACGAACTAAAGACTTGTTTCATGCGGTTTGAGATTTCTACAAATAATATGAAGTGTGACCAGGAAAACAAGAGGAATTCAACTTAATCAACATTACATAAAGCGTTATATTTCAATACTCAATTCGTTTACAGATAAGACAGTATGTTGAAAGATGATTATTTTATGTTTAATGACGTCATAATGTTAGTAAAACATTCTTGCAAGGCATACACGGCGAATCCATTTATTGCTTATATAAATTATAAGTTCTGAAGCAAATTTTGACTGACTTGGAAAGAAAATCGTTTGTTACTGATCACACTTCACACGAAACATAACACCAACATATTTTATAACAGCTTTTAAATATAACTGTATTTTACAATATATTTTTAAAAATGAAATATGTGAAAATATATTGCATGTCGATCATTAATGGTAACCCAAAACGTGATATTTTACACAACTAAGCGGCTTAAAAACCAAATTGAAAAAACAAGGATTGTTTTTGTTTTCGTCTACACTTCCGGAGTGTCCAATGTGGTAATCATACCCGAAAATTCCTACTAAAACAGACTATCGGATAGTGTTAAATATATATAATTTTAGCGATACAGATATATGTAATATCTCGTTTTGATATCAAGTAGTAAAAATTTAATATATAAAACGTTTCGCTCGTTCCGAGTCGCTAGTTTGTCTGTTTTTTTTTGTAATCGTATTAACTTGTACCTATAGAGTTATTTGTAACGCGTATAATAACTGATGCACAATGTTCAATGAAAATATGATCCGTCGGCAGCTATCACAACCCCATATTAGAATAAAATATTTAAAAAAAGAAGTCTTTAGAATACACACTTTAAGGTCTAATTTCGTTTGTCAATAATACTAAAAATATCACATGTTTTCATTATGAACATTATGCAACATAATCGATTTATATCGATTCTTATCATGATTCGTCACAGTAGTTTAGATTTAACACTCTTAGACCTACAGTTTATTATAAATACTTGACGCCGTTCAATGAAAAAAAAAACGAAACTCTATTACTAAAGTGAGAAATAAAATTAAAAAAAAAAGCTAGATTTCTGTGAGGCATAATTATTAAAGTATTTTTCTACTTGATCATTTAGGGATGCTATTAGATATTTTTGGACCATTGTTAAGAATAAAAAAAAAATATGATCAGTATTTGTTGAGTGAGGATTGTAAAGATTGTTCTTAGTTTTGTGAATGTTGTAAGATGTGTTCGTGTCGATATTAGTGAGAAACGCTTATAGCTCTGCGATCGTGCACTCGTATACCTTACGGACTGATGGTTTACTGATCGTGTACTGATAGGTGTCAGGAATAAGTTTTAGGTATAATATTTACATATATGTTGAGCATTGGAAAATAAATTCTTTATTAGTTTAAGACTAGTTTATAAACTCTGATTGTACTGATTTTTATCACTTGAACTATCCCTATTCGATAGATCAAAATAAAATTAATAAATAAATATTTTAAAAAAGTTGCCTCACTGGGATGGTTATCATGTTATGTCAGCTGTTTGTGTACGCCATAAAAATAATAGAAACAAAGCTACACAAATAATTCATATAGACTTCACTATATTTATAAATAGTATAAGTTATCGAAATCAAGTATAAAACATTCTATAAAGGTTTCTGTTAAACTAAGATAATATTTTTTTTATGCTAGAACTATCAATTTAATCTAGCTATCAACAGTCCGTAAGGTACCCACACCATACTGTTAAAATCTAAACCACCTGGGATATTTCTAAAAGGCTCACCACATAACATTCCATTGCGTTAATCAAATCGGATATTAAAAAAAAAATGGCTACGCACAAACTAAGCTTAATAAGGTGTAAATGATTATAATATTGTATTAGTACATAACTTAGGAGGCCGGCTATTTGATGTCTTACTTGTTATGGAATAAGATTTATTTTAGTCTATCATATGCATCCTAGTAAAGAAAAAAAATCAAGATAGTATTAATTCATATTTTCAACTATGGCATTATTTAATATAATATAAAAATGAAATTTAAAAAAAAAATTACACCAATGAATTTACTGCAATATTAATTAATGTGAAGCCTTTTAGAGATAAATTCGACTAAAAAGGTCTCAGAGTGTTAATTATGACCAAATAAAGTCAACGTATATTAAAATATATGGTGTATTTCATATGTACCTATATCGAATGAGTACATTTCGCATTATAAAAAATATATATAACCTGATAGGTATTTACCAAGAAACCGCTTAATATTTTTGTATTTTCTTAGTATGTAACGAAGCATTATAAACTTTTTGGTGTCATCTAACGATTGTGTATGCATTATGCTATAGATGAATACTTCGTAAACATTTTGTTGGAATAATAAGTGCGTAATAAAACACTTTTTCGTATTAAGACTCGTTTTTTATTTCATTTTAAAACATAAGTCAGTTTCACATGTTCCGGTTGAGTTCAGATTAAAATATCTGGCAGATTACTTCATAGAAATGTTACATTTTTTATGATATCAGAAGATATTTACTGGCCGAAACATGTGAAACATATGGGACTTGAAAAAAAAAACATTTACAGATTATACCTACTAAGTAAAATAAATTAGGTAAACTATCAAAACACGGATCCGTCTGTGGTTTACATTTTTTATGATAATAAATGGCAGCACAGTGCAACGTCAAATCATCACTTAAAGTTTTATTTATGGCTGGCCTTTTTAGGCAATACGAGTTTTTTTTTTTTTTTAATTTCGACTTACAAAACTGATTACAATCAAAAATATAAACAATACAACTTTCACAAAAAAGAAACTGGATTGTAACCTTCTAGATGTAAGTACAACATGCATTTTAAAAATTAAACAATTTTTTCACAGAAGTGACTACAGCCGAAACATAAAATAATTTAAACTACAAAATATTAGTAAAGTTATCATGCTTTTCTCAAGAACCAAAAACAGATCTTAAGCTCTGCCTAGCAGAAGCAATAGACCCGTTGAATATGTCGAAAGTAAATCTTATTGATTCATAGCTAGAACACATGCGATATAGCGTTGTTGAATAAGGTTCATTTATATCTACAGACATTGAACACGTAAACATATATTTTTCTATACAATGTTTATTAGTCTTTATATTAAAACGATCAGACGCCAACAGACACTGATAGACGCGAACAAATACCCATAGACGCCAATAGATACCAAAAGACACCCATATACACCAACAGATACCCACAGATGCCAACACACACTCTCAGACATCCACAGACAGACAGTCCAGTTTGCGCGGTCATGTCAATACGTTGTCTATGGTTATATGGCCAGTAGTGATAAAACAGTAAACGGTTTATTGAGGCCTGTCGGTGTCTATGGTAGCACGTGACGAGCTCAATGTCTGTAAATATAAACAAACCTTTATATTTATAACCACAATCATTAGCATTTGTCTTCGAAACTATCTACATTGGTAGTTTGTTCCTATTGCGTCACCAAATGATAATTTAGACACATAATGAGTCTAGAAGTTGATTTAAAACCCAAGAGTAAAGGAGAGAGACAGAGAGAGGCGCTGCTGATCTGTACTGACGGGTACTCAAAGCATATAAAATATATGGATATTAAAAAATTACATTTACATAAGAAATTCGTTAGGTTTTGTTTTATTTCATTTCAATAACATATATTATAATCACACTTCCACTTATAGATTTGCTCATGACGTCTGTAACTGGATGTAGGTATATAAATAAATCTGTAAAATATATTTAAAGAAAACTATTAAAAATAATTATTATCCTGAAAGATAAAATAATAATCTAATTTTGTACAATCATATTAACTTTAGAAAATAAATCGATGAGGTTTGCCTATACAATTATGTTAGGTGCAATTCTGACGGAAGATCGGTTAAGCGTCTCACGATGGTATCCGTTAGTAAGCGACGGATCATCCGGTGAGTGCGCAAGATTGATTTATATGATATATTTGTCAGTTCTAACGTTTTGTTTTGCAAGAGACGTGATACATCTTCCGTTAGTTATTTGCCCTTAATTAGGTACAATTCATTTTTTACAAAGAAACATAACTTTTATGGTAAATTTTGTTTGAAATTATTGTTGTTATTAATTTAAATTTTGTTCTATAGTAAAAAATAAAAACAATCTTACATCCGATGATACAAATCATCTGAATATGTATCTTTTTTATTTTATTATGAAAACTATATTTTTTTATACAGCAGTGTTATTCTGTAATAAAATCAGTGTTGAACTCGACGTCGAGCACAGAGCTGTTACAGAATAGAGATTCAAATAAATAAAACCTACTTCAAAAGGTAGTCAAGATTTTATTTTATTAAACCTCTGTGGTGTAGCAGCGTTGTGATTGACGTCGAGTTTAACGCTGGTTTTATTACAGTACAGCATAGCTATTACTGCTAGAATTTTGCTTCGGGTTGGAAACTACTACTTTCTCAAAGTACCGTTAGCAATGCCGTCACATACGTCGCTCGTAATTATAGCTTGTGTTTTTTAATGAATTGTTAGTTAATAAGTTTTAAAATGATCACATTTAATAAATTTTGCATTTGCAATCCTATACAGAAAAAAACGAATAGTTAAAAAATCCACTTTGTCTCCTGCACTCTGAGATGAACTCGAACCCATGAACTTTCGCAATCCAGATTGCGGAGAAAGTTTTATAATCTTTACGTTAAAAGTGATTCCCAGTTCGATTTTAACTGATTGAAAGTTAAGCACAGTAAAAATACTATTATTTATTTGCTCACTATACCAGTTGATGTGCCTATGACGTCATTTAACTGTCGACGGCCAACTCAAAGCAAAGGGCTAGTACACACCGCTGCACGTGAGGTTACTATAATATGACAAATTTTTGTAATGCAATTTGACTTCTACCTTTAATATAAGGTGTAATAAAATTTACTGAACAACTTTTACTATGGGAGCAACACTAATTCTAGAAAAAATATTCAGTTGTTTCATACTAAAATTTGGAGGACGTCATTTCGTACAAAATTTTAATACCTACAATCGCCAACAGTATATGAAACAGCTGATTATTTTCTCGTGCATAGTAAATTCGTTCGATAATTAACTCATCCTCATCAAGATTGCTGGGATATAATAATATTACACCTTATATATTAAGGTTCAAAAAAAGAGTTTTGTATAGTCTGACGTGCAGTTTACAGTACATTAATATATACTTTGGGAATGTTTCGTATAATTTTTACTAACATTACTGATAATAAAAGTGACAAGTGTTACGAACATTTCAATTGCGAATCAAATCCGTATCGAGCATATTTCACATTTTTAATCTTAGTACCCTTAAAAGGAGGTAGATGGCGTTAAATACACAAAAACATGACACTTTCGTTCAATACGAATTAGACTTACAATCGATAATACGTCATATTGGTACAGATTATCATTACGCATATGCGTTTATATGACACCTGAAAAGCTTTTAAAGCTTATTCGACGAAAATAAAAAAAAACTCAAGTCAAAACATTACTATTTAATTGTAACTATACACAGAATCACCGCTGGTGTTTCATTATTTATCATACATCGAGAAGACTATTCGACGCCAAATTGGTTATACCCTGATCCAATTTCAAAATATCTTTCGCTTTTTGTAACTGCGCCTCTGTTAAGGTGGGCAACGCTTTGAAGAACATCTGTAACATAAACAATAAATTTTGCATTAAACTAGCCTTTTTCCTGCGACATCACACGCGTAAATTATAGCTTATATCAACCCCGTATGATGTAGCTACATGTAGGTGAAGGAATTTTTAAAATAGGTCCAATAGTTTCGGAGCCTACTCGATGCAAACAAAAATACAAACAAACAAATCATTCCTCTTTATTATATTAGTATAGAAATAGTGCTAATAAATATGATACGTTTCTTTGTTTGAATGGACAAGACTCCTAAAATATTGGACAGATTTTAAAAATTCCTTCAGCTACGGAAAGCTAGGTACTTCATTTTCAATTGGGGTGAATTCGAGAAAGCAGCTATATGTAGTTTTGCCTATATAGTCAATATGTCAATTATAGTTAATCTCTATTAAAATATGTTCTTATATAGGTTATTTAACCAGTGCACAAAATTCAATAGCGTTAATCAAAGCAGATGTTTTTTTATAAAAAAATCGGTACTTATGTACACAACGTGAAGTAAGTCACAAAATTAAAAAAAAACTACAATTTACATTGAAAAATTAACAAAGATTTGATTCATATTTTTTTATCTGTGTTTAAAATACATATACATATTGAATACTAAATAACATCACGTACAAAGCTCAGATTCCAAGATGAATAGCTAAAGCCCTCGTATTATGGAGTATATGAGACAACAAAGGTACCAAAACACCCAGACAAGACCCAGACAATATAGAAACTCTTTTAATACATTCCATTCGTATATTTTGTTTCATACCAAATCGACGCCATCTATACAAAGAACTCCATTTCCGTGGATACGTAATAATTAAAAGAAAAATAAAATTAATTAGACTAAAAAAAAAATTGGTGGCTTATTTAATTTAAACCTTTACAAGACTAATTAAAATCTCTGAATAACATTGTAGCCTTTTTATTGACAACAGTTCCTTGTGCTACCTGAATAAATCTAAAACATGGGAAAAATCTTGTACCTATTGCCCGCAACCCGCGTGCGGATTCCAACGACCAATGTAAATGAGCCGTAACGACAAATTACAAATGAAACACTTACTTTGCGGGTCATCAATGACATTCCGTGGGTCTTCTTCATGTGATCTCTCACCAGTGACATGCGAGGATATCTGAAACAATATAATTATATAAGTACATACAATAATTATATAACAACTAAAAATTTTAATACCATAAAAAAATACAGTTGGTTACGAAAAGTTATAATTACATCATAACTGTCGGCCTGTGGCTTCGCCTTTACTTTAATTCGGTTTTTATCGCCATTTTCGCACAAAATTTCATCTCGCATCTCAACTCCTTTAAGCCTACCTTTGCGATAACACTATCCTATATCTTTAACCTAAGTGCACTCTGTATATCTCTCTGGTATCTGTGTACCAAAAAATCATGTCCAATTTTGACCTAAAAATTTACTAACGTGTCTAGTGATGTGATATATATCAAAATGAAGCATATTTTTTATTTATTTCTTATCAAAAAATTCAATCTTGAAATAGTCAGGAAAAAATTACGAGGACAAAAATTATTTTTAAATCGTACAACGATAACTACCCGAATGCGATTCGGACCCTAAAATGACGGTTTGCTACACTACACCCATGCGATTCGGACCCATTGACAGTTTGCTGCGTTTCGTTTCATCAACTACGATAAAATATTCTTCCTTAAGGTTAAAAAGTGCACATTACCAATTGTATTTTATTTATTTATTTATTGAACATATTTTATTTATTTCCATATTTACGTGTCAAACTGCAAAAAGCTTTGATTTTAATGCATTGGTTTTTAAAGTAACTTAATAATAATCTCGAGTTTTGACATCTGTTATAAATAGATGCTACAAACTACTACAAACAAAAAGATGCTAAGTTATACGAGTATTTTAAGCAAAAACTAATTTAAATTATCACTGACAGACGCGACCTTTATAAAAAAACATGCGACAGGTCAATCGACATATGAACATGATTCTTTCTTTATAATTGGTTCAGTAATAAGCGCGTGAAAACGTAACAGACTCACAGATAGAGTGACTTTCGCATTAATAATATCAGAACGTCGCGGACTTCAAGCCATAGGCGTAGCTATACCCCTACTTTTCAGGAGACATGAAAATAATACATGTATGTCAGTCATATGCAATGATGATAAATTATAAGACACGTCATACCCGTACATTATTGCGTTTTATAACGGCGGAAGCTTTATTATTAGCTGTAGGATCATACAGCATACCTCTTGTTAGAACGGGATAAACATACTTGCTTAGCTGTAAGTGTCAACCGGTTCAGTTGCGTTTAAAATTAGTAATTTTATTAAAGTAAGAAGCACAGTACTTACGCATGAAATGGTATCTTTATTGCCTTTCTCATTGTCAATGTGTAATCTGTGCATTGTTAAAACGCGCAAGAAGGCATTTTTTTCTATGTCTTTTCACAGAAAATTACTAGTGAAAATGACATTAGCCACAACGCTCGCTGAAACGTGACTAAAGTGAAACTCGGGCAATTGCCTTGCTTTCTTGTTGTCAATGTTGTGCGCAGATAACCCAAATGTCATATGTTAAAAAGTGTTTCACTTATATCTTTTTAAATAATTTGCCGATGTTTTAAAAAATAGGTCTTATTAATAGGGTATTACAACTACTTTTGAAAAGTATCTCAATTCAATCCCAAAGTCCCTAATAAACCATGGAAAAACTTGTTTTTTTTTTTTTCAAATAGGAAGTGTCATAAAATTACATCTAAACTTTACATTATCAAACTTCGCGCGAATTAAATGGAAATGCTGGATGCCATGTTGCTCTGTAGTTCTGACGTCACTTGGTTTTGTAAACAAACGCGTCGCAATTGGTTTCTTACATTATTGTTGATTGATGATTTGCAGTAAATAAGCTTTCCGACGATTGGTAAATTTCAATATTTAAAAAAATTACGTCTAAACTTATTTTTCTTGTTTGTTTACAAAACGAATGACGTCATATCATGGCGGCTAATGATTCGTGTAATCAAAACACAGACTAAAGATTTGAAAACTTTGAATATTAATAATCAATTTCTTCATTTTATAAACTGAAACTAACATTTTCAGACTGGTCATTGCATAAGCTATCTCAATTGTATATTTTTAGGTGATCTCGTAATGCCCATTACCATATTGACATAATGAAGAAGTATTTAAAAAAAACGAAAGCACTGAAAAAGCACCTCCACTAGATGGCGACTCTAGCAAAAGTTGATTTTTTCAGGAAACGAATGGACCAAAGACAGTAATTTCCGTTTCTTTTAACTAACATTAAAAACTTGAAAATTTGAAAAGTTCGAAACTTAGATATCAATACAAATAGAATATAGGTTGTTTATTGAGTTTTGAAAACTAATTTACTTTTAAACTTGAAAGAAATAAATTACGTCACACAATTCATGATTTTTAACCCCCCCCCCCCCCTCCTGTTACTTGTTTGTCTATACAAATTCTACTAAATATTGCAGGATTCGGAAACGTTATTCAAAATAACGTTTTTAAAACGTTTCTTATAGTTATTTGGGCAAGATTGCGTTCGAAACGTAAACGAAATGAGAACGCTTTAAAAAACCGGTTTAATCCGCAAGACGGTGCCGCGCGGGCTGTAAATGTACGCCATTTATTTTATTACGTTATTTACAGTATGCGATGCAAAAAAACGCAAAATAAATGGTTAAAAAGTTTTATGAACCGAAAACAATATAATTCTGTTTTTTTTCCAAAATCGTTTTTTATATCATTCTGTTCGAACGAAACCGAAACAAAGTGTTTTTTAGGTATTTAAGATGAAAACGTTTCGAAAAATATACCGGTTTCCGACCCCTGAAATATTGTTCTAATGTCACATTTCATACTTTATGGACGTAATTTATGGATGACCCCTAATCAAGAACGTATCGTAGCGACATCTAGTTTGATTACGGGAACTTTCTTTTTTTTAATACTTCCTCCTTAGAACAGATTGGCATTATAAAAAATATATAATTTTTGCGTATACGCTACTCTGGCTTCAAATGTATACATACCTCTTGGGACAGATCGGGCAGGCGCAGGCGGGCGGCAGACGCAGATGCTGCCGGCGCACGTGATGGTTGAGGGCGGCCTTAGTCGCGTAACGACGCGAACACTCCGAACAACCGAACTTCGCCACCGCTATACCAAGGAATATGCACATTTTGAAAAAAAAAAATATGATAAGTTACATCGTTATATAACTGCAAAAAATGAACGGCACCGAAAAACTAAAATTTGGCAGCAAAACTAATAGATAAAAGTAAGCAATAATTACGAAGGAATTTTTGGCGCGCTTGTCTTGACGGATTTTTTTTTTAATTGTCTAAGGCAAGCGTTAGACGCAAATATACTGTAAGTTTAAAATTTTTATTAAGTTTCCAGATCATTCAAATAGTCCATCGTTCCGAAAGCAAGACTTTAAACAATTCCATAAATCACTTATCGCAATAGCTATGCCTTTAAAGGGACTTTGAAATTAGATAATTATGCCACGGGTTATGCCATCTAGTTATATAATATGACTTACGCATGTGTGTGTTGAGATGTACGACGAGAGCTTCCTTCACTTTGAACAGGCGCCCGCAGTGATCGCATATGTAAGCATCAGACGAATGCTGCCTCATGTGACGCTATACAAATTATAATAACATATAATTGTTTAACCTCTAATAAACCCATCACATGTCCATTACCAAGAGTTCGATTCCCAGTCGGGTCATGTCAAAATAATTTATGAATTTTTTTAAATTTTATGCCCTTTGGGTATAGATGTTATGTTACATTTGTTTCAGTTCATATCCATTTATTTGCATTTCTTTATAGAAATATTATTATGGGTTAGGCTTTAGCTATTTTGGTTTGTGATCTGAGTAATGTATGTAATGTCTTATAAAATATATATAAAAACTACATTGTCCGTGGTTATCTGGTAATCGTTTTGTTTACTTGAATTAGTCATAAAAGAATAATTTTGTTTATCAAATATCCAAAAATATGTTCTTAGTAGATCCCAATTTTAGGTCTATGAATAGGCTGTGTCTGTCAGTAAGTCAGGACAAAGATTTTTACAGCATTATGGATTTCTATTAGAATGAGAAAGTATTAAAAAAAAAATGAGTTTCCTAAATCAAACTAGATGTCGCTACGGTACTTTCATGAATTTTCCGTGACAACCCTTCCGGTTTTCTTTCATGTATAAAAGTAAAGTAATTTTCAAAACTCAATGAACATATACATATCAAAACAAGTACGTAAAAGTACAAATATGAGTTCATATTTGTACTTGTACGTATTTTTTTTGATATTTAAGTTTCGAACTTTGCAAATTTCAGTTTTTTAATATGTTAGCTAAAAGGAACGGCAACAACTATCTTTGGTTCATTAGTTTCCTGCTAAAATCACCTTTTGGTAGAGTCGCCATCTAGTGAGGTGCTTTTTAGTGAATTTTTTCTTAAAATACTTCCTCATTGCATAAATATAAATAGTGAAACTATCGATAGGTGACATTGAAATGTATAATATCGATGCTCTTGATATGACATCAGCTATATATATATATATATATATATATAGGTATAGATATTGATGAAGAAAGAACCGAAACTTCTAAAAATGTGACAAAATCCATAAAACAATTGCTTTTATTTATAAATATCCTAGAAAGTATAGGTCCATTTTCATTGCTCGATAAGTTGGACGTTTTCCAGCATCCAGGTATATCCGAAGGCGGGATAACGACTAACGAAAGTCAAAATTATACCAATAGTATACTACATCGTCTAGTGTAAACAACTACCTACCCTCAAGCGGGCTTTATGGCATGGCCTATCCTAGGACTCTTGTGTTGTACCCTAGTCCTATCGACCAATGAAAATTAACCATTGACTATTTGATTTTACTTACCCTGAGCCTTGGATATGAAGTGTATGCATTGGGACACTGGCTGCAGCGGTACGGCCTGAGACCCTTGTGCAAGTTCTCATGCGCCTCCAGGTTTGGTTTAGAAGAGAAAACCGCTGGACACTCCGCGCAACAGTATCTGGATACATTTTTCCCTTTCTTTATTTGTTTTACTAAATCAGTAGACCTTAAAGAAAACATTTTATCACGCCTCGCGGGTACAACTACTAATCTAAACCATATGAAATTTAAATGGTACAGTCATCAGCATATCAGATTATAAAATTCTATATTTCTCCACTTGATTTTAAACCTAATGCTTTGAGTACTGTGGTACGGGGCTACATGTCATGGTAACCTGAACCTGACATGTGGCCGTGCGTACATCCCTCAGGAACAAACACTTAAAAAAAATCGTGATAAACGGTCTTCTAATGACAATAATACAAACAAAAAAGTTTCCTTTAGAGGTCAGTTAAAAATTTAAGCAAAAGCAGAACTCATTTATTAAAATTACTTGGTATATGAATTAAGAATTTATAGTTGAGAATGTCTCAATCTGTACTTATACAAGCTTTCGTTTCTGATCTTAGTTTTTATAATGCAGTTAGATAGCAGTGTGATATAACTAAAACTTTTTGACTTGCGAAACTTAAAAAGTCAAGTCATTGGAAATAATCAGTTGAGATTTTGTACTTTTCTCAATTTAACAATTGACTATTACACTAAAATGTTAATTATCTTTTTATAATCAAGACTAAAGCTACCATCTAACACGGACCATGTAAAGTATCCAAAACATCTTAAAATAATCTAATATAAACACATTTGTATCCGTTAAAAGTAGTATTATTTAATGAGTAGTGCATATAAGAAATCAGTGGGTATAACTCACTTTTTACTGACAGGTTGTCTGAGTAATATCTCGTCTGGTTTTGGTAAAAATGGCCTGCCGCGGCCCTTACGACCTAGAGATAAGGCACGAGCTTTAAGCACGAGAACAGCGTCCGGAGCTATACACCTTTTCTCGTGTTTATACAGGTTTGTCGTACTGAAAAAATATTGAGGAAATCACATATAATTTATAAGAGACACTCTCGCAACCTTTCGAAAACGGTTGTTATTTAATAAATTACCAAAGATTGATTGATAATCAGTTTTCCAAATAGGTTACGAGTAACAATCAAGAAAAGGTTATGAACAACTGTGAAGACTATTATCTCATTGTTAACAAACAAACATTAATAAAAGATACCCTTTATCGTAAATTCTATACTTATTTAATAAAGTTTTCTCAGTAATGTAATTTCTTAGTGCATAATAATGCTTGATGGAACCATAATTTGTACATGTAAGAAAATTTTGTGCTAAAAATATTACTTGTGTGCAAAACTAAACAATATAAATTTCTAAACTGCCAGTTTCTTGAAATTTATTAAGTAATAAAATGTTTGTTATACAGGAATCAATTGTGGTCTTTTATACTAACCTCCTGAAATCTACACCACAAGCGTAGCAGACAAGATATCTTGGGCCATGTTTCTCTTGATAATGGCGACTTGCAGCAGGCTCTGTCTCTGACATAGTCCCACACTTTCTACACCTAAAAAAGAAATGTCATCTATTACAAGTTTACTGAGTTACTTTAAGCAAGTGACTATTCTAATTTTCAAGTCAAAAATAAAGAACCAGTATACACCAGAGATTCCCAAACTTTTTGGTTGGTGATCCAATATATCCTCACCAATTAATTTATATATCAGTGTCAATAAACTAATAGTGTTATTAGTTTACCAAAACTATCTCTACATTAAAAAATGAAATTTATATAAGTGTATAAATATATATATGTAGCTTTCCTCCACTATCCTATGTGGATTACACTATTTTCTAAACAATTGTGAACCTCATTAAGGCTCGAATTTTTCCAACCTTAAGCCACAGCTCAAACTACCGAACCTGGTCCACTAGTTTGAGCTGTATGTAGAAAGATCAATCCTCCAGTAACCTTTACCTTTCATATATTATAACAAATAATGAGAACAGAATAAATATTCCTGTTTTCCTTATTGCCAACCTGCATGCAATTTTGGTACTTACTCAAACATAATATCATTCACTATATAATAATCTCGTGGGGGTTGTGGCCTCTTGACATTCCTCATTATTTCTGCTATTGTTCTAATAAGAGCTTTTTCATTTTTACTTAATTCAGGATATTCTTGTTTCAAATCTTGTACAAAAGACTTCCGCTGTGCTGGACCTAGATGTGCCCTTCTGTGCACTTTCGATTCATATTCAACATCTGAATCAGAGAAAGAATCATTTTCTTCAATATCAGGAGTATAATCATCATCATTCAAATCTTCTTCAGGAGCATATGTTTTATCATCTTCTTCAGCACCAATTAATTCTTCTTTTATACCCAAATTCTGCTCAAGAAACTCTTCATCACTATAATGTTCTTGTTTTATAAATTCTATGTCCAATGTAGTATTTGTAAACTGTTCCCAATCTTTTTTGAAGATAGATTCTTTACTATCGTTTTGAGACATGATATCCAACAGCTTGCCATGTTTTTTAGCTTTCTCTATAATTTCCATCATATCACTTTCATCAATCGGTTCAGGCTTTATTACGGGAGATGAAGGTGGATTTTCTGATGAAGAATTTGCAGACTCCGGGTTTCCGATGACCAAGACAATCATATCATCTTCATCCATTATTAAGAACACACCTAAACAATTACCTGAAGAGATAAGGTTAGACGTTAGGGGTGGCTATATTTTAATTACTAAGGCGATAAAGTCTCTATATTTTCAAAGTTTGTTTATTTTGTTTCATGCCAATTTTGCGCCAACATAAAATCTCTGTATTATTTGTTTCATCAACATTTTGATTAAAAAGAAATAAGCAAAGGCGTTTACTTAGACCGCCATCAGCATCACAAGAATTACTGAAAAAAGTATGCTTACGTCATCGTGTTTATAATTGTAGCTACTCTCAGTATTTTACTTAAATACCTTAAATAAAACTTACTAAACAATTAAAATCTTACCTTAGAAAGCAGTATTTTACATAAATTCACTAAAATCACTTTTTATTAAAAGCTGTATATTCAATTTTCCTAGTTCCTAACGCATCAACAAAATCGTTCGATAGGTAGCTTTTTTTTTGACTTAAAAGAGTAAAATTCTCTTTGGACTAAAAATGGACCATAACCATAACATACTCTATGACCATAGCTTCTAAAATATTGTTCTCTATGTAATTAACCCACAGATTATATTTTCCCTTTATATTATACTACTCTTTGGATTATACAGTTCTGTGAAGCTTTGAGGAATAGCCACATATTTTTTTCTTAATTATTTTTTGCGTGGGAGCGTTTGAAAAAAATGTTTTAATTTAATAAAAATACGGTTTCGTATATTTGCATATGATGACGTATATTTGCATAGTTTTGATATAAAGACATAAATAACTGATTTATTAAGAAAATGGGGGAAAAAATGAACAAATATAACCTGATAAAAGTGTACAAAGGGTCCTTTGCTGACTCAGCCTCTTCGGAGTCCAATGAAGAAGGGGAGGAGAGCTTTCGTGTTCCAAATTTTATGACAAATTACACCTGGCTATACCAAGAAGATTCAATGTATACTGAATACGTAGTCTTCATTCAATCTTCAGATTTACAGAGCCAGATTGTAACCAGGGCATTAGTTTCATTATCGAATTATTTGATAAAATATAATTATTCACTTTTAAGCTAGTGCGCTGCATTATTACATACTTATTAGACGCGATTTTTACACTGACCTGCGCCGATATTATAAGTATGTAAGATATAATTAGGAAGTAAAACACTTGAAATTATTAATATATTAAAAATTTGTGTCTATTTTGAAAAACTTAGTTTGATAAATGCATTATTGAACGATAAAACTTTTTTAAAAGAGAATAATTTTAAAGCCGACATTCCAGCATCATCTACTAAAACAACATGGATTATTAGAAATTACATATGTCGTTTGTGGTATCATAACATAAATTCAACATAAACATAAATGCCGTTCATTAAAAGAAAATATGTTGACAAAAAAGTTATACTGTCATATCTTAAATAGTAGGACATGCTGCAAGCAGCTCCCTATCATGCGACTTCAATCAATATTTTGATCATATTTTTTTGGATCTACACATTTCTTTTTTCAAGAAATGATTTTAACAACTAATTTGTGTGAAATCTACAAAAAACCAAATGAAATCCCATCTGCGTTACCCTGAGCTTCTAAAAAATCCCCAGTATTATTTTGCCTCTACACATATATCCAAAATACAGATCAAGATATTTCAATATAAAGAAGAATAACGTTATATTGATCAACAAGAAAAGCATTTAATTAAAAGAAGATTTTACTTTTGTCTATGACATATTTATGTAAGAAAGTAAACAAAATAAAAAAAAGTAAACAAAAAAAAAACCCATAGACCGTTGGCGTGGACAAAAAAGTGGCGTCATGAATACAAGGCGGACAGCATTTACGCGGGAATAAAATAAGTTTAAATTTGGATTTCATTTCAAGGTAAGACAACGTGTTTATATTGAAATGTTTGTTATATTATTTTTGATAATAACTTAAGTTCCCCATATATTCAACTTTACTCTTTGAACTGAACTTAAGTTGCTTTGGGAGTTGCATAAAATGTGTTCTTCACCGGAATATAGGATGATATTGTCAACTTGGAGGAATATATAATTTGGTAATAGATCACAAGAAATCCTTTTCTTGCGTTGCTAATAATATAATCATCCGATGTCAAAATATCTTCTTCTTCTTCCTTTTTATTTAATGGCTATCTGCGCATTTCGCACAATTCTGCCAATGTCAAGTAAATAAATTATTTTTTATATGTAAAATGAAAATGAAATGAATGAAAGGTAAGGAATAAATATGTCAACAGGGTACATAAACCCTTATAAAAGCTACACTACATGTTACTTGGTCATTCTGAGACCAACAACTTTTTTGTTGTTCATACTTTACTCTTTGTTCATGTTTTGTTGTTTTCATTCAAGTTTAGCTACGAATGTTGCATATTGTATACCTACTAAGTCTGTGCATATTGTTAATCTGTGGTTTTGCTTGCTTGACGATTTTGGTGACTGATCTTATCGTCTGTGATCTAGAGCACGTAAATAATAAATAACTACATACATAAATCTTAAGGATTTGGTTGTTTGGTTTGGTTTATGAGATATTCTATAATAGTAACATGAGCAGCTCCGGCGTATTTCTTTCTTGTGACATAAGTTCTTCTAGTAATAAACTTAGTGCATTTGAATACAATTTACAAAAAAACATTATAGATTTTAAAGGTAAAATGTAAAATTAACAAAAAAAATATATAAAAGAATATTTATTGGTATCATTTTATGTATAAATAATTTGTGTATGATTGTAATCTCAAACTATTTTGTTAAAGATATAGTCAAGGAATTTATAAAACAAAGTAAAGAAATTGAAGATTATAAAAGAGAATTATTCAGACAAAAGGAGGTCTGTCTTAGGTATGAATTTTACTTTATAATTCTTCTAACAGAAAAAAGAACTGTTTCATTAAAAAGTGGTTTGTATAGTTCTAACATCCTAATACTAATCCACTTTCGTATTTGATAGAATCCATGGTGGGAGCATATTCCTTTAATATAACGAAATAAAGTCATACATATCATTTGAACCTGTAAAAATTGCTTTATTTAACCTATTGCAATCCAGTCAGATTGTCATATTAATGATATTTATCATTATATAAATTGATCAAAATAATATCATGGTGACTACAATTTTTTTAATAATAGTTAGCTTATAAATTTTGTCTGTATCATTATAATCTCTAATCTAAATCTAATCTAAAAACTTAAAATATATTATAATATAATTAACACTTACTTGATTATTAAAATTACAGTAACTCCTGTAGTAGTGCGGAAGCATTGAAAAAAACTATTGAATCAAAGGATCACATTATCCAACTAGTTGGTAAGCAAACTTTAATAGAGTTGAAACAATTTCTTACATTGCCTTAAGATATTTGACCATAATAATGTAAATTATTATTAATTTTTATCCTTTTTATATTTAGCATCAGCATTATCAAGACTATATGAAACAAAAAATTTAAACATTGTCAATGAAGCACTAAAAATAATATGTGGAGACACATCAATTGCTGTAAAAAGAGAAAAGTCACTAGAAGTATCAATGGATAAAATTATAAATATTGAAAAGGAGGAATGTAGTCCAAAAAAGGAGCTTTATGACTCTATTCCAGATATTTCATTAAATGATGAATCAATGTCAGAAATTGATGGCACACCTGGTCGCACTAGCCCAATAATACACTCTAAAAAGCTACGCAATGGATTCACAAATCAGTCCTCAGATCAAAGAGATAAGAAGAAATGTCCAGAAAATTGGTAAGCACCAAGCATAATACTCTATACATACGTCAGATTAGACAAATTAAAAAAAATAAGGTTTGATCAGTGCATATTTGATGGAAGATGCTTCAGTTGTGAGAACTGACAATTATAATTATATGATATATACATATATATAGTGAATTTTGTAATTCACAAGCAACTAACCTGTTTTATACGGTTCTTTCTTAGGCCAACACCAGAAAATAAAGCATTGAAGTTAATTTTTACAACACCTAGCAAAGCCAAGAGTAAAGGAAAGGGAAAGCTTAGACAATCACGGTTGAATGTTGTGGATCTTACAATGGACAAATTTGTTGACCTTACTTCTTCACCAGAACTCATGTGCAGGGATTCGCAATGCGATAGCAAGGTAAGTACAGAATATGGAGTGCTGTCTTGCTGAAAATCTTTAATCTCAGTATTTACTATGTTTTAAAAGTTTAATGTTACAAGATTATTTTAGGAAAATTTTGCAAATCCACCAATAGGGGTTTTTTTTTTCTTTTATTTTTATTTGCGATCAGTCTATTGACTATAAGCAGATGTGATGTGAGCGTTTTTATCTTGTAGGAACAATACTCCATTGAGTATCGCTCCATTCTTTGTTTTCTATCATTTCAAGATCAAAGTGATAATTCAATGATGTGTTGTCGATTAAGCCTCTTGGGGTAGTTGACGCTGGTCAATTGTACTGCCAGGCAATTTGGATGAGTAAGAAGGCGCTCTTTGTATTTGGCCGAGTATTGCCTTATTTCGTCCTTGACTGTGCAAACTCCAAGTTCATTATGGAGTTCAGTTGTTTTTATGAACCATGGCGCATTAGATAGATTTCTTAAGATGCTATTTTGTGCTCTTTGAATAATTTCTATACTGGAGTTACAGGCTGATCCCCACAGCTGAATACCATATGTCCAAATTGGTTTTAAGACAACCTTGTAAATAAGGAGTTTGTTATCAATGCTCAGCACAGAGTTTCGTCCAAGTAGCCATTGCAGATTCCTGTATCTGATGTTAATTTGGTCTCTTTTTTTAAGCAAGTGGTTCTTCCATGTTAGTCTACGATCTAAGTGCATACCCAAGTATTTAACTGTATCCTGGTGCGGTAGAATTTTTCCTTCCAATTTTACAGGTGGACAGTCTCCTTTACGAAGGGTAAATGTGACATGAACAGATTTCGAAGAAGAAGCTTTGATTCTCCATTTCTTTAACCATTTTTCTATTTTGTCCAGCTCCTGCTGCAGAAGCTGGTTTGCTTCCTCTGGATTCTTGCTACTAGCAAGAATGGCAGTGTCATCTGCAAATGTAGCAGTTAATACTCCAGTGGTTTCTGGAAGATCCGACGTAAATATGGTATACAAAAGGGGTCCCAACACCGATCCCTGCGGTACTCCAGCCCGTATTTTATAGAAATTGGATGAGTATTCCCCGTCTCTTACGTGAAAGATTCTCTCAGAAAGGTATGATTTTACTATACCGAAGAAGGTATGTGGCAGCGATCTTTTGATTTTGCAGAGTAAGCCATTGTGCCAGACTCTGTCAAAAGCTTGTTCTATGTCGAGGAACGCAGATGAACAGTATTCTTTTAATTCCAGGGATTTTCTTATTTGATCAACAACTCTGTGTACTTGTTCCACTGTTCCGTGTTCTTGTCGGAATCCAAACTGATGGTCAGGTATTACCGATCTTTCAGATAGGGCGTCCAGCATGCGTACCAAAAGTATCTTTTCAAATAGCTTTGAGATGACCGGTAGGAGGCTGATAGGTCTATAAGAGCTCACTTCATTAATGGGTTTTCCTTCCTTGTGTATCATTATAATTTCAGAAACCTTCCAAATACCTGGATAGTGGCCGGTTCTCATGATGCCATTAAAAAGTGTCGATAGGTACACTAAACCTTTTCTTGGCAGTTGGACTAAGACTTCCTTACATATTTCATCAAAACCAGGTGCTTTTTTATTATCCAGTTTTAAAATATACTTTAAAACTTCTTTAGGGTTTGTTGTTTTTAAAGGCAGGTCCATCTGTAGATCTTGGTTTAATATGGCTTCAATTTCTGGATCTTCACTATTTGTACCTTCGTTTGGTTTGAAAACATTAGATAGGTGGTTGGCAAAAGCATCTACTCTTTCCTGAGCTGTTCTTGCCCATGTGCAATTTTGTAATTTGAGAGGTGGTCGGGTTCGCTTGGGTTGATTAAATTGCGCAGTAGCTTTCCAAAGGGAATAATCGGATGACCTTGTTGGTGTCAACGAGTCTAAGTATGAGGTGATAGTTTTATTTTCAGCGTCCTTGATTAGTTCTCTTAGTTCCACTATAGCTTTGTTTAAAGCTTTTTTGTCTACCTCAAGCCTGCTGCAGTGCCAAACTCTACGAAGTCTTCTTTTGTCCTGGATTTTCAATCGAATAGTTGCTGGAACGCTGTTGTGTTTTGGATACTTATTTTGTCTGTTTGAGGTTGTTAACCAGCAGGCAACTTGTATTAGATTTGTAAGTTTGGTTGCAGCCGCATCGATGTCATCTGGGGTTTTAAGTGCAATTTTCAATTCCAGTCTTCTATCTATGATCTCTCGAAAAGAGTCCCAATCGGTACTCTTGTTGTATAATTTAGGGGTTATCTCATATTCTAGCAACGTGGTGCTCAGCGTAAGTAGAACTGGTGTGTGGTTTGAGGATCCGTCCAAACACGCATCCGTTTTAGAGGCATATTGCGACATTCCTTTGCAAATATAGAAGTCTATTATGTCTGGCAGTTTATTCGTGTCTGTTGGCCAGTGCGTTGGTTCTGAAGTAGAGAGCGTAACGAGGTGTTGGTGTCTACAGCTTGTTTAAGTTGTCTTCCTCTGGTGGTAGCTATCCTCGAACCCCAATGGGGGTGTTTGGAATTCCAGTCTCCTCCGGCTATAAATCTTGGACCCAAGGTCTTAAAGTAATGGGAAAAATGGTATCGTTTGATGTTATGTTTTGGCGGACAATATACTGCTGATACGTTAAAAGTTGCCGTTTTTCCCTGCACTGCTATTGTTGCGGCTTGTAGGTGTTCAGTTTCGTATGGAGCTAGTTCGTGATGTTTGATTGCAGATCTTACAACTACAGCAGCTCCGCCATGAGCAGCTCCATCTGGGTGATTAGAGTTATAGACAGTGTGGTTTTTAATGTTTACCAAGCTTTGGTTAGTAAAATGCGTTTCAGAGATGAGGAGAATATCCAGTTTATGGTTATCTAATAGCAATTTGACTTCTTGTAGATTTGGAGCAAGTCCATTAATGTTCCACGTAGCAATATTGAGCGCATGATAGGTCATTTTGTCAGTTTTTCGACTAGAGTTACAATGAGGGTCATAAAGGTGCTTATTTGATTAAATAGTATATCCATTTTTTCCATTTGTTTTGTTATTAAGTCCTGACAAACTTGGGCTAGCGTAGAGTAGTCTGGTGTCGTCTGTTGTTCGTGCAGCTTATTTGGCAAGTGCGTGTTGTAGGCGTTGTCTTTTCTAAGGTCTGGCTTGTGTGGATTTACCCTATCGTCTTCCTGTCCAAATTGGCGCTGTGCTGTACGGGAAAAAGTTACTTCAGAGTAACTTCTCTTTTGTTCAGGAAGCTTCTCCGTAGATTTACATTCTTTTATGTTCTTAGTAGGTTTCATAGTACTAACTTTGTTTTTATTAATAACTTCTCTAGTATTTTTAAATGTTCTGGTTCCCGTTGCTATCGATTGTAATCCAGGAACGACTTCCTCATTTGTTGTATGACCTGATTTTTGGTTTCTAGGTAAACCTTGTCGTTTATTTTTTCTATTAAGAATTTCTAAATATACTTGACAGCCTTTGTAGTTTGCTGGGTGTTCTCCTAAACACAAAGCACATTTGGCAGGCGTACTTCTATCTTTTTTTATGCAGTCAATGGTTTTATGTTGTCCAGCGCATTTTACACATCGGGCAGGTCTTAAACAATTGTTTTTAGAATGCCCATATTGTTGACATTTTGTGCATTGTACAATAGTTATTCTTTTCTTGGGGTCTTCAATAATAACTGCTGTGTTATAGATATACCTAATACTTTTAACTGCGTGGTTGTTTAGGCTTCGTTCGAGATTAACAAAGAAGGTGGAAGTTGGTCTTTTTTCAATCCCTATTCTAGCGTTGATTATTTCTCCACGCACTGTATTACCGGTTTTTTCGATTTCCTCGATAATGGCGTCATGTGGTGTAGAGTGATGGAGATTTCTTATTACTATCCTGTAGCATCGATCTTCTTTTCTCGTGAAGGTGTGTCCAATAAGCCCCATTTCTCTCACAATGTTCATTAATTTTTTATGTGCATCAACTGAAGTGCAATTGACTCGAAGCTGGTTTCTTGTGATAAGTTTGAGAGTATATTCCGTTTTTGTTAATACAACTTCTATAGTTTCCGTTAGCTTATTCACGTCTTCAATTCCGTATAGTATGAGGGGTGGTGGTCTGCTTGGTTTGATCTATTTCTCAGTGTCCCCTGAAGAATCAGTAGGTAGGATTGAATAACGGTTGCTCGTGTTAATCATAGGTTGTGGTGGTGAGTCTGAAATTCTTTTGCGTTTGTTGGTTCTTATTTTTGGACCAATAGGGGTGTAGATAACTTTTTTATATATTTTCTTATAGATGTGCTTGAAATATATCTAAAAATATAAATATCTTTCATATAAAAAGTTCAACCGAACGCTACGCTAGCGCCGACGCTAGCAATGCGTGAAACTGCACTTCTTACTGCTTATTCGCCATATAGTGGTATAATCAGCCGACCAATTGGGCGGCTAGCCACGGCAACTTGGCTGTGAAATATACACGGCAAGTCAAAACTCGTGTTGTACGCAGAAATCATTTATATGTTTGTGTAAAATTCATGCATGTGTTACGGTTTTGAGAGGCACTGCTTACATTAAGCAACCTGATTAAATTAAGAAGTCATCAAAAGAGTAAAGCCAATTAAATAATATTTCAAGTCAGTGTTAAATACTGCAAGAAATAAAATAAGCCACGATTCTGATTAGTCAATATTTGACAAATAAAACTCAAGTCACACATTAGTTGTGTTGTGTTATTCGAAAAGCAATAAATGACTTTCTAATGGGGGGGGGGATGATATGCTACGGGCCACTCTCTGGCTTAATTCGGCAATAAACTTGCTATTACTACTATAAGAATATTACTTTGCAGTCTTCAGTTCCACCATTAGTGAAGAAGGAATCAACAGATAATGATGAGACAATATTACCATCTCCAACAAGTGGACCGCCTAACATTCCGTCCTTGTGAGTATTGTATATTAGTTTTCCCCTTTCATGCCGATCGTTTATCTGTAGCAGTTGATCAATGGAATAGGGAACAGAAGTTCTTAACCTGTTTATGCTATGACAAATCATCAATGAAATGTTACGCAGTTTTAAGATGACGTACCAAACAAGAGTAAAGTGAACTCTTATTCAGCCGGTTTTCTTCAAAACTACTGAGCCGATTGCAGGGCCGGATCGAGGAGGTGTTGGCTCAATATGGTTAAAGGAATAAAACTAAAGGACAAATATCCAAAAAGCTTTTAGCGGCTAACATAACCGTTCCATTACAACAGGCAAAAATTTAGCCCATTGTAAATGAAGTAGTATGCTTTTAAAATCCCTAATTTATAAATGTAACAACTTTTAAACGATTTAATTGCGTTTGTAATTAGTTTTATCGACGTTTCGGAAACTATTATAGAAAGTGCGCGTGAAAATATGTGAAGTTCCTAATTTAATGAAATAAAGTTAAAAAAAAACTCTATACTCCAAAAATATCATAATAATACACCATAGTTTTCCAGTGTACGATATATCCACTATTAAACTCTACTATTGATTTTGTATAAACTCATATGAATCCAAAGGACGCATTTTTTGTTAACTTATGAAGCAACTGAGGTAGGACCTGACGCTGCTTCTGATATACAGATATTCTTCACGGGACTTTAAAAAAAAATCATAAATTAACAAACAGAGTAAGCATTTTAAAAAGATAAATTATTATTACGATACAATTACAGATTAAAAAACTTACTAAATACCCCTCTGAAGAAATCTCAGTTGTCACTGAAATCCAAATCAGACAACTTAATGTTGCCATATGATCCTGAGAATTTAGAAAATAACACGAACAACAATACAGACAATGAAGATAGTTTCAATTTCTTGAAACCAGAAAGGTCAGTGAAATTTTATTGTCATCTAATCGCACTTTTAGCTTTTTCAGGTAGTTTTAGTCATTTGTTATTATTTTTCTGTCATTTATCTTCAATAAACTTAAGCATCGTTCTTATTGTTGTTTTAGAATCACCAAACATCAGAAACATTCACCTAAAAAGGATCTTTCTATGGACTATGACGAAACTCATTGCGATATCACAGCCAGTCTATCTATATTACAACATGTCGACATGATGAGGTTTGTATTGTATTATTTTTTAATAGAATCAGTGTAGACGGAGTTGACACCGCTCGATCCACATAAAACTAAAACGGAATGAGATAAGGGGGCGTCCATAAATTACGTGAGATGTTTTAGGGGGGGAGGGGGTCGAGGCAAATCTCATCTAATCTTACGTTGGAGAGAGGGGGGGTCTCGGCAAATATCACGCAATTTTTTTTTCTGATTGAAACAAAAACAAAAAAAATACTATTTTGGTCCATTTAATCCAGATTGTACATGCTTAAGATTTAATCTTAAGCGTAATCGTATACGATTAAGATCATTCACTAATTCGTTCAAAAGAAAATAATTTCATTCATACTTCGACGCTATACATCTACTGAATGTCAAACCACCATATTTGTAGGGTTCTAACGATACTTTCGATATCGAGTAGGTATCGATACTTTCAAAAGCTATACTCGATACTGAGTATTCGATACTACAACAAGGCAAATACTCTCAAGTACTCATCAAATTGCATTTTGAAAAATCTCACGTGAGATTGGGGAATGGGGGAGGCGGTTGAATAAAATCTCACGACATCTCACCAGGGGGGGGAGGGAGGGTCAGAAAATTAAAAAAAACACCTCACGTAATTTATGGACGCCCCCTAATAAATGGAGTTGCAATGAAAAGCTAGTTAAATTAACTGGGGACGTATTTAAAACATATTTTTTAATCCTATTAATATTATAAATGTGAAAGTTTCTTTGTTTGGATGTTGAAGTGTTTGGATGTTTGTCGGTCAATCACGCCGAAACAACTGAACAGATTTTAATGAAATTTGGTATACAGATAAGGTGTTAGCTCACTTAGATAATAGGATACTTTTTATCCCACTTAACATTTCCCTAGGGTCCACGCGGGCGAAGCCGCTGGCGAAAGCTAGTAAATAAATACATTTGTCTTACGTGTATTTTTATAGGGAGGATGACTAAATTTGTTTTGTCTGTCCGTCCGGTAGATTATTGTAGAATATTAAGCAGGTATTTTTTACGTAATCAAAAAATAACGGCGATTAAAATCTTACATGACGTCATGCTTTTGTACATCTATGTACATGTTGCAGCCAAGTGGTGTAATCAACCGACCAGACCAGAAAAGGAAGATTCGTTGTTTCAATCAATAACAAAATCTTAATTGTTATTTTAATAGCGTCTAAATGAATTTTCTCCATAAAAGTTACCACTAAACTTTTGGAAGTATTGACTTTTAATTATCTTGTAACTTTAACAGTCCGAGTAAGCGTCCCCTTGCTGAGAACAAGAACATAGTAAACGTATCATCGCACAACGTGGACGCAGCCGGCGATTCAAGTATGTCACTCCTTCATCCAGAGAATTTACACAACCCGAGTGAAGATAACATGAAAAGGTAATGGAAATATTAGGTTTAATTTAAAAAAAAATAATTACCTTTCCTTTTTTTATTATTTACTTCCATACCACAGGGATGATGACTAGGTAAAAAAATGCAATTCTATTTAGTCCGTCAGTCAGGTAATAGAAAAATATTAGATACGTATTTTTTTTTTTACTTCAATTAACCAGAAATAGCTTAGATAACAGGCATTAAAGTTGAGGAGTGGGGGCTCGCTACGTCACAGTTGAGTAGAAAACGTATTCTAACGTGACGTCATGCGAAATTTTAATTCCATGTAACGCCGTAATTTTATGATTATGAAAAAAATCAAAAAATACGTGTTTAATATTTTTTAACACTCTACCTGACGGACAAACAAACAAAAATTAGTCATCATCCCTATTTTAGGGTGAGGTACAAATGTATACTTATTTTTATTCGATACAACTTGATAGCTAAAGCAGTGCAATATGTCTGTGGAACTGTATTATAGATAGTTTTGTCAACAAATTCAAACAGGTAAATACTCATAATTTCCTAAGGCACGTTAAGCATTGGTCCCTGCTTCATTTGAAGTCGTTATTACGTAGAATCCGTTCTATATGTTTCCATTGGGAAAGGATATGCGATAGAGCTGATGCTTGTGTGATGATATATTCTTCTGGTAATTTCTCTTAAAATGTAAGTAATAGATATGTTTCAGTCTTCAATTTTAACGTTATGGCCTTTTTAATATGTATTTCGTTTGTTTCAAGCAATCTTGGGATTGTTTCTGGTAATAAATTAACTTTTAAGACAATCCATATTTCTTATATCGATATAAATTCAATTGGCAAGTCGGTTAACTCCGTTTTTAGTAGAGGTGTTATAAATAATGTGAAAACTAGAATGAATATAACCATTAAGCCGCTTAATAGACATCTTAATTTAAATTACAAGTTTTAAAATATAAACATCAAAACGACAGATTATTTTTAATAATTTTTTATTTTAACATTTTAATGTAATGTGTTAACGAAGTATCGGAAACTCGATAAAAACAAGGTAGCAATCCCGCAAAAAGAATAATTCTAATCGTTCGCTTTATTTATTTATTTATACATTTCATTGTACTACAAAACCTATTAACATTAAGTGTGCAATAGGCGGAATTGTAACGGAACGTTTTCTTTCTTGATGATCTAATTAATGGGTTATTAATTAATTAAGTATTTTTTATAAAAATGGAGATAACCTCATTTCGAGTAATGTGTCAAATGTCAAAATAATCTTTATTCAAATGGACTTCTTAAAAGTACTCTTGAACCGTCCAACATCTTTCCCTACTTCTCGTTGAGGACGTCTTTTGGCTGATAAGAAGAACGAGCAAGTAACTCACCAGCTCTGATAGGAGTAATTCTCAAAAACCATGTCATTACCAATTTAAAGTGTCAATTTAATAAGATAGTTTAATTGTGCACAGAAAAATACTAGAACCCGTAGAACCGGTATACAAAGAGCCGGTTTTAAGAAAGAAAGCTGAGAAAAGAGCACTGCCCGGCTGGAGCTGCGACCAGTGTAGACTTGTATGTATGATATTCATATTTTTGGTACTCAATAAATTTATTTATGATCAAAGATTCATCAATTTTTATCTAAAAAATAACTAAAGCGTCTAAGTACACATTACTAGACGCTATAATAAAGTCTTAAAATAAAATTTGCGAGACTGCTAATTGTTATTAATTTTTTTTATAAAAACGTCTGTCACAATATCTAAGTAAAGGGAAGAAAACTTAATATATTATGGTATGTAGGATTATAAAATTCATTTTTTGATTATATATTACATAATAACTTCAAAAGATGTTAAATTTGAATTAGATTTTATTTTATTTTAGTTTAAAGAACAACATAATTGTCACCATTGTTTAATATTTATATATTATTCATTCTATTCAACAACTGAATACCAGGGCTTGAAACTGGTTCCAGAATAAACCGTTTCCACTTAAATAATGTAATATCCCGAACTTAACTAAATTGGGGTCGTATTTAAAATTAAAAAAACAATCTGGTTAATTTTGTTTGTTATGGTATATTTAAACTGGTCAAAATGAGCGAATGAATGCATTAAACCGCATTTTAGTGTGCCGGTTCTAAGGAGCTTAACCTTTCTTAAAAAGATTCCAAAAACCGCCCAGCCAACACATAAGCCAGATAGTAGCGAAAATATACCAAAATAAGCAGTATCAAGCTTTATTACTTTTGTATTACAGATGACGTTATGGCTTTATTTTGAATAAGAGAATTTTAAAATTAAAATAATGTTGTAAGCTTACTAAATTCTGTATAAAGCTTGCGGTATTTTTTGAAGCTGAATAGTAAGCAAGAGTAGAATCTGTTAAACAAGCGATATTCAAATAAAAGTAATTGAAACAGCTATTATCTGCACAGTAGCTGAATTTTTTGCATTGTCTTGTATAACATATTTAAGCAAAGCAGTTAAACAGCAAAACGCTGAATATTAGACGAAATATTTTCTTTAAGCTGCATAGTGTACAAAATGGTACCAATTTATTCAGATGCTGAATATTTTAGACTTTTTTCTTCTTTACACAGCTGACTTCTGCATAATTGAAAATAAACTCCTTGTTTTACCTAACTTATAGCGCTATAAGCGTACAATTGTCTTTGTGTTAAGCTTAAAACAATATCAGTTACAAATGTGGGTATCTTAAGCAGCAAATAACTGATTAGTTGAAGATATCGTATGTTTATATCCAGATATTTCACAATTTTGTGATAAAACTGATAAATACTGCATCATTAATATGCCTCCTCAGAAAAATAATAACAAAAGCGTAAATGATTTATTGAAAAAAATAAAGAGAACGGGAGGAATAAGAAGAAAGTGTTCACGAGAGTATGAAAAGATAAAAAATAGTATCTGTGCAGTAATAGAAAAGGGTTTGACATTGTTTGGCCCGGGTCAAGTGCGACCAATACAGTTGAAGAGGGTTCTGTACACGATGATTGTGCATCACCATCAGGATTAGTGATTCAAACAAATAGACCGGGTTCAACTTTAGGTGCAGATAACGAGAGTTATATGCGTGACAAGTTTGCGTATCAATCACAATTTTATAGTGATTCAAGTTCTACAGATTTGGAAGAAAACTCAGAATTTAATAAAAAATATTATTATTATCGTGTGTATCAGTTCTGTTCAACATTTGAGATAATTCTTCCTCAGCTTTCCTCAGGTTTTTGCAAAGTAGCTCGCCTTTTTTTTTGCCAGTATAATATTCCTTTGTTTTCCCTAGAAGCGGGCACTGTTGATAATTCAACTCGGCCTTTTTTACAAGTCGAAATGATTTTGAACATGTTTCTGAAAAAAATATATAACATTTTCTATAACACTTCAAAAATACTACAACAACACTATTATAAATACTAACATTATATAATAAATCTCGATGTTTACGTTTGAATCTTACTTATTGACTACATCAGCGCAACAAGTGTATATAAAGTAGGTACCTACATTAGTATAGGTCCCATCAACCTCAAATATTCATGGATTTATTTTATATAAAAAGGAACCCTAAAAAGCTGAATTAGAGTATACTGCATTATGTTATTTAAGACCATTCTCTGAGAAATATATAATTATTGTACTTTAAACCAAATAATTTCTGGATATGTAGTCGTATGTGAACTATTATGCAGAAATAAGCAAAATAATCTCTGAAATAGACACTTTTATTCAAATAGGCCATCCGCCATTAACTAACGTTCGACATAACCTCTTCTTATAAAAATCCTCAACATTTATCTTATGAAACACTTTGTTTAGTGAGTAGGAAACATTAGCAGTTATACAAAATTTGATTCTCATTATTTTCTGGGACTGAAATTTGATAAAAAGTAAAGATAATTTAATTTAAATATTATTTCACATTTGTTTACCTTTTAATTTGTAGCTTTATCTGAAGGCGCTCAAAAAATGTATAATAATCATATTGATAATTCACAGTAAAGTGCCATGCGTTTATATAATTCACCTTAAACTTACTTCAAATGTATGAAACAATTTGCTTATCAAATTTTTGAAGTCGTGAAGTAGCGACCATTAATATATTTTGAAGTAAGTTACACAAAATAATCTCGTCACAATCAAAAATATATTTATACTTTTTTTTACTTGCATAATTTCTTTGTAAAACTTCCCCTGAGTTCGGAATTGTGAATATCATTTGAATATCTGAATTCACAAATAAACAACTGCATAAGAGATGTATAATTTCTGGACTAAAGAAAAAACAGAATTTATGCAGAAGATATTCAGTGTGTTGTACATTTATTCATCTGCTATGTAGCTACTAATCAAATGTTATCCAAATTGAAGCAAGATATTTTGTGCCCAAATTGCTTGAATATCATCTGTATAAGCGCTTACACAGAAGTTATACAAATACTTTATCCAGCTTAAAGTCAAAAGAATTGCTTTTACGCAAAATTTATTCAGCTAATCTGTGTTGGCTGGGCGGTTTCCAATCCCTGCTGAACTCTTCTATTGAAGAAAGTCATAATTTGTACGAATTAACATGACACCTGAGACAACCTATTCTATTTGTAATCGAACAAAAATTTTGAATCGTTCCTCTAATTTTGTTAATATCATAGACTTGAATATGATCTGTGCATCAGAGGCAGTATCAGGTCCTACCTTCGTTACATCATAAACGCGTAACTCTGAAGTTGTATTAGCATTTTATTAGAATTCCGGAAAAGCTTTCAAGTGTCATTTTAATTCGTACGAGTTATACATTCCAATCTTAGATCTATAATATGACACTGAATGATTTTATCGATAAAAAAAAAGTTGCCACACAAGTTAACTTCACTTAGAATACGGTAATCAGCTTACGAAACGTCGACAGTTCTACGACGAACTATACAAAGACAACCCCGAAATGTTGGCGAAGAAAATGGACGAGTGTTCGAAACATCGCGGCCGCAACAATCCCGCGCGACCTAACACACCAGAAGGTTTCTGGAACCCACGATGGGACGTACCAGACAACACCGAGGAATTCAACAGGAGAAATAACGCCATATAACTATTCCAAACAATTAAACGCAGAAATCAAAATGTTCAATATCCACCTAGCGTATTGCGTATAGTATCAAGCGTATTGGTCGAATCCGCAGTTTCATATTCATTGGTACAGTAAGATACAACTGTTATACACACGGTTGTACGTCAGACTACCGCGACATTTCAAATTTCCTCAATTGATTTTGAGCTCTACCTACAATGAATTAAGATTTAAAATTAAGTAGAGAAATTTGACAGTTTTGTATAGCCCGACATGCTGTTGACTGTACATGCGCAAACACGCCCGAGGGCTTCTGGAATCCACGACGGGATGTACCAGACGACACATTTCGTTCTAAACAATTAAATTCGGAAGGCAAAGTGTCTAAAAGGTTCATTTCGCGCTCTCTGTGCCTCATTTTGATTGGTGCAGTAAGATACAACTGATGTGCACGCGCAGATATTAAATTTCGATGCGCGGTAAAATCGTCCAATCAGAATGCTTCAAATATCACGTTTTCCACTAATATCTACGCGCTTGATCCCCGCTGAGTGTGAGTGAGACTTATGGAAATACATATGATAACAAATTTTTTGTTTGTTTGTCCGTCAGTTAGATTATTGAAGAATATTAAACACGTATTTTTTTTATTTTGCGAAATCGATAAATTATGATGATACGTTGAGTTGAAATGTCGCATGACGTCACTCCTTTGTACATTTTCTACATAGTTGCGACGTAGCAAGCCCCCACTCCTCAACTTTCTTGCCTATTATCTATGGGTATCTCATATTTTTCTATTACCTGACTGACGGACTTAACAGATTTTTTTTTTTTGAAACAAGACTCACTAAACATTTTAATTGTTGTATCTGCGCAAACATGCAACATATCAGTTAAAACTTGCTGTAAATCATTGATTTATTGACCAATGAAATGAGTCCACTAAAATTGCAATACATTAGTTAAATAAACCATGTAATTATGTTACATTTTATGTCTCACTTTCATTGATATACCGTATGCAGGGACTTCCCAAAAGGATTACGTCTGATAGTCTAAGATGCGATTGAGAAAAATATACCCTCATCTGTTATTGAATTGTGAGAGGGCTTAATGTTAGAGAACAAATACATCAATAATAAGGATGACGAGTAATTTTTGTTTGTCTGTCCGTCAGGTAGATTGTTCAAAAATATTAAACACGTCTTTTTTTATTATTTTCATATTCATTAAATTACGGCGGTATATTGAGTGGAAATGTCACGTGACGTCACACTATATAGTTGCAACGTAGCGAGCCCCCACTCCTATTACTAACCTAACCTAACCTATTTCTTGTTAAGTTGAAGTGAAAAAAATACGTATCTAATATTTTTCTATCATCTGACTGACGGATTAAATAGAATTTCTTTCTTTTTTACCGAGTCGTCATCCCTATTACATGAAGGTTATATGATCTACTTAGGTTTATGCTTTTTGTATGTTATGGAATAAATATATTTTTAGTTATTCTAGAAAACTAAGATGTTATTTGTTAGTCAAGTCTTGGACCGCCTACAATGATTAAATATATATATATATATATATATGACTTTATATTTTTTATTTTCCGTAAATACTCTGTGTTCTAATTTTTACACATCAATATTATTTTTGAAACTAGTAGTTTTATAGATAACTGTTAAGTGTTTTTTTCTGATAATTCTTATTACATGTATACAACCCTTTACTAATTTACTTGTTTCGTGTATCTTTTTTAAACAAACAAAGCAGTTTTGGTGCTTTCGTAATACTCGATTGACCCCTAAACAAAAATTGTTTGAACGCCTATCTTGATAACAGTGGCTGATTAAAGCTATCTATCAAAACATTTTGAACATTGATGTCTCTCTAAATTTGTAATGTTAATTGTAATTTGTATTTCTTTTGTATAAAGCCGGTTATGTACGATAACTGAAATAAGAAATGTTGAATAAATATATGATTGTAGGAAATAATAGTTTTATAAACACTCACAAGGATGATCTGTAAAATCTATTTAATAAATTATTATTCTACCAGTGGCGTAACTGTACCGTTTGAGGCCCGTGGCAAATTCATCGGATATTTTGTTTTAAGTGATTGCGTAATAATAAATCTCAGGAGTAAAGTCTCTGACCGGGGGCCCCTTCCAGCTGGGGGCCCGAGGCATTTTGCCGACTTGCCACCCTGTAGTTAGGCCACTGAATTCTACCTCACTTTTTTATTAGTTTAAAATTATATTGGAATATTAGCTATATATGCAAAGCCAAAACCTAGTTTGGCACCTTCATATTTTAATTTAGTCATTTAATTAATATCGTTGATAGAAGGCTGTTGAAAATTAAATTCAGTGCAACAACCATCAAGCGCCATCTAGACGCTCAGGGTTAAGGATTGTTTTATGTATAGTTATTTTATTTCATTAATAAATTTAGTTTTGTTAGTTCTTTGAGACAATTCAAAAAACTGTTTCTATGGTCCTTCGATCCGGATCGAAGAATTAGTGCCATTAAAGTTTACGTCTTTTAATGAAAGGTGAAATGATTTCAATTACTTATTTGCTGTGTACAGCATGTTATTATAATATTCTAAACTCTGTATCTTTTTCGTTTCGTTTAATATGTTAATATTTCGTTTTAATCACTTCATACTTGTGGTCACTGACCGCGACCCAATTAACGGGACCAACGCTACATTTAAAAAGAGATCTGTGATATGTTGCTAATGAAAGTATAAATATGTCATGTATAAGTAGTAATAAATGCTGTAATATGATTTACTGGGGAAATTTTTAATAATAAATTAAAAAATTATCGTTTTGAGTGTTTTATTTTCGATATAATTTTTTGAACGTACTTCCAGGTTATTTTCATTGTTTTTTTTTTCAATGTACATATATATGCAACATGTTTTATGACGTCGTAGACACTTTGTATCCCAAGTAAATAGGTACCTTTGAAACCAGTCCCGAACTATACAGGAGTAGTAAGTAGGCACACATCAAATAAATCTCATATACAAGGTGTAACTTAAATAACGATCAGTTTGGGAAAATATCTCGACAAATGCGACTCATTCAAGAAAATGGAACACGAGGGGGAGATAGAATATAATTTACGCAGGGGAAGTCGCGCGGAAACATTCAACAACAAATCTGGCACGATTCCGGGTCGGTCAATGTAGAAAATGAACTTGTCTATATTGTATCGGGTCTGGGTTTGTTGTCTTAGATACTCCATAATGCGGTAGTAGGCTTTAGCTACTCATCTTGGATGGAGGAGCAATGTATGTGATGTTGTTTAATATTATTATTATATAGTTTGATAGGAATTGGTTCACAGTTCAAGAAAAAATCTATAAACATATCCACTTACTAAAAAATATACATACTCGTGGAACATAGAAAATTCTCCGATCGGACTTTGAATAAATCTTTTAACTGAAAAACATATCATCTAAATATTTAGGTGATATCTGATGAAAAGCAAATTTTGTTTTGTTATAAAGGAATATTACCGATTCGATTTCGTTAAAAGTTGAATGGACCTCGGTCAATCAAGCTATCTAATATAAAAATAATTTTGAAAATCTGTTAACAAATATTAGAAATATCGGTGCACATACATCCCCGTCGAATGTATATCCCCTCTTTTTCGATTTTCGAAGCGGTTAAAAAACTAGTTCTCAGTCCGGGAATAGAATCCGGACGTGTTGCAAATAAAACATACGTTAGGTATTTCTATTTAGATACCGATTCTGTAGGTCTTATATAGTTAGTATTACAATGAAACATGCCCCGGTATGCCTTTATTTGTGAGGATCTATAATTGGTTCAGAGGAGCTCGTTTGCGGGCGCTTTTCGCGCGTTTAGTCTGCGATGACAGATCTTAGGATTGGTGTCCAAAAATATATTATGTCCACTTTAACGTGCATCGGAAGGCAAAGGCGTCGGTCCTGGCTGAATCTGCAGAAATTAACACTCACCAATCAAAATGCTTGCGTGATGGGTCATTCATGGCTCTCCCCGATTCAATTCTATTCCATCCATAGCGAAGGCCTATACCCCAGCAGTGAGACTATCTGCTTCGTAACCTCATTACCATATTTGTTGGTAATAATAAAAACATACAAGTAACAAAGACTTTTTTAAATATCTCAATATTATTCTTTTAATCGACAGTTAATTTAGTTTCATTTCTATAGTTCACCTAATATGTAGTAGATGTTTATGTTCAAGTTTAATTGTTGACCATATACGATTACCCTTCAATGCAAACTGCACGCACGCTTCATTGAAACCGGGCCGTGGTACCATATAGGGTATAGGCTTAGGGCCAGTAGTATTTTCTTCATGGTATCTATATGATAGTAGTCTTTCAAATTGCAAATAATCTCGAGTAGTCTATTAAAGCCATGATATTTTTTTCTTAATAGTCATTCAATGGAATAGTAACAAGTCTTATGTTATCAATAATTCCGAACGCTAAAACTTAGTTTTGCAAACATTTTAATGATATAACAATTTTATCTTTGATAGGTACATCTTTAAAGAGAAATGTTCAATCGTTTTAAACTGTTGAAGAACAACAACACGTCAAGTTATACTAAACTGAAGGCTAAAGTGCGTAAATATAGCTGTTGTGTATAGCCTTTTTTTTACCAAAGCTAACTGATCCTAACTTCATCGACCTGGTCGAAAGGCAGAGGACTCCGAGGCTCCTCAACTGCAAAGGACGGCGGCCCAGTGTAGTTGGTCTACCCGACAAAATCCTCCCCCTTCTCGCGTGATCCGGGCCCTGATAACCAATAAGAAATCCCAGGACGATCTTCGATGAGTTCACATAGATTATAGCTACGATCCCCATAGCAGAAGGGTTTTGATCCGTCTGCGACAGATTTTAAAAACCTGAAAATAAAATTCTGTTTCTGCTAGTGTAATTTTTTTATTTATGTAAGACTGCCGAACTGTCTGCAGACCTACTCGGCTGTCTGCGACAATGTCGCAGTGTCGCTCGTTGTTCTGCCTTGGGGGCTACGATATTTATTAAAACATAAAATACAACAAGCATTGAATGTTGTTTTGCGTTGATTAAATAGCACCATTACTTTAATAAGCCTATAGAACCTCATTCAAGTATAACACATATTTTGTGTTATCAATAAACAAGGTTTAGCATTGGAGTACATTTAGTATTGCACTTAGTATTAGTCAAAATTCATATTATTAAACAGACCTTAGCAAAGTTTAACATAGTACAAGGTTTTACGGGAGTAATATTTACTCTTAGGAGGTAGTAGGTTTGCTTATTCTCTGTATAATATGAATTTGGACTAATACTAAAATTGCAATTTTAGCGTAAATTTTCTTGGACGCTAAACCTTGTTTATTAATAGCAATGATTAAATTTACATACGAATGAATCATAGTTGATAAAACAACATGACTTGCTAAATCAGTTGTTCCACCACTGTCCTAAATAATTGGATTAACAAACCAAAAGTAAAGTTCATTGCTGTTTATTGAGCTTATTTGACATAAGTATGCAAAGTAAATTGTCAATGTATACAATAGCATTTCAATTTTACTCATATTACAACAAATAACTTTGAACTTAAGGTCTAACATTTTAAGGTTTAAGATCAATTAAATCCCAGTTTTGATAGCTAGACATGTTGTTGACTGTATTTGAGGATTGAATCTTTGGGAACAACATAAGATGTGCTTAAAATAAACACACATGTTGGCATAGGAGCGAGGTGAAATCATTAAGATCATTTTGAAGAACACCTTTTATTTTTCTCATTAAAACAGAATATTGTAATTTTTCAGTAATTTATGTTAACAAAAAATGTTAAATCAAATGAGATTAGTATTATTTCAAAGATGCATATTTAAAAAAAAGAAGCAATTTCATAGTATATCACTTGCAGAATATCTGTGACAACATCACAGCTATTCCCCAGTTGTTAAAACTCTTTTTACATTTATTATTTATTAGTAAATCACTATTCAGCTTGCATTTTGGTAGATACAAATAATGAAATTTTGTATTCAATCAAAAAATAGTTCCATTTACAAATGTTTGAACTGAAAATTTATGGTTACTTTGATATACTTTAATGCTACAACAAATTTACAATATGGGTCTATGAAAGTTTCTTGGCTTTCTGGTAAAGAGTATCAACAACCTTACTCATGTGATGGATGGTTTCCAGAACTGTCTCGTAGGTTTTCTCCAAGGGTGATTCATCAAATACAATAAGTACCCCTTCTCCTTGGTCCAGTATACCATTCAATTTTTTATCCAAAATCATCTGTGACAACTTCTTCTCAACTTGAACTACAGGCAGACGGATACAACGTGCAACATGATCTACTTGAACACGCATATAGGGTTCTACAATACGACATAAATTTTGCTCCAGCATAGTGTCATAAAGAGCCCCAAGATGGGCACGGACTACTGCATCTTCCTCCAGTTCACGTTTATAAGTTTTTAATGCAGCTTGAAAATCAGCCAGTGATCTCTTATGGGAAGCAGTGGCAACAGCCCGCATTGCTTCCAACTCTTTTCCAGCATATTTAAGAGCCGCCTTGCTGCCACAAACTGTATTCACTTCTTCTGCCTGGTTTAACATGATTTTTGACAGTAGCATGTATTTCAAAGCAGTAAGGGCTTTAGGGCTATCGGCACCATCATAACCTTCAAAAGCTTCATAGAAATATGAGTAAGCTGTTTTGAAATCACGTTCATCAGCAGCATGGAGTATGCCAGATTGTAAATCAAGAGCTGCTTGCATTTTAGGAGGACAATAGATCGCGTTTGCTGTTGTCCTGGCTGAGGTGAGGGAAGCACGAGCTTTTGGTAAATTGCTAAGTGCATGGTAGGTTTTGCTCTCTAAAAGGAGGACTTCTACTAGCAGGTTCTTATCATCTAACTTCTTGAGCTCCTTGAGTAACGCTGTGGCTAAATCGAGAGCTTCTGTGTACATACCTGTGTCGTAATATAAAGCGATCAATCTGGCTTCCAGGGACTGCCGTAGGAACGTGCGACGTTCTTCTTTTGCCCATTCTATGCATTCTTTACACAATTGTACTTCTATACCAATGCCAGCTTCCAAATCAAGGAAGAAATCAACCAGTGAACGGACAAGTTTTGCTGCTTTCGCTTTACTTATGAGACTGAGAAACGGTCTAGTTGCTTTGATAAGTTCGGCTAATTCCTTAGCTTTACCTTCTTTCTTGTATTTTTCACCGAGGTTCAATATTCCTTGCTCTTTAGCCCGTATGTTTTCTTCGTCATCTTCGGGCACCTCGCCAGTGCTAACCATTTTGTCGGTCATGCGGACGTCTTCGTCTCTGTTCGTCGACGACAGGCGTGATCTTTCGAATAACATTGCACCAGCCATGTTATGTTTATTTATATGCTTACACTAAAAAAACTAGAGGTAAACAGTTAAATCACACTAAAACAGCTACACTTTTCCTTTGTAATTTTGTATAATCGCAAAGTCATCAATGACCTCTTCTTTTTTCCATAGATAATACATGTTTTTTTTTCTTTTTTTTTTTTTTTTTTATTATTGAGCTTAACGGCTCTGGATTCAAGTCCTTTTGAGCCATACATTATTATAGGTATTAATAATAAAATTAAATCTTGACTCCAGTATTGAGAATGAATTTGTAAAGTGGTTTGTAGTTCTTGAATTCTTTTAGTAAGTCTTCGAGTTTACTGGGTACCGTTGTTTTCTTGTGTATTGATTCCAGGTCGCTGACAAGTATTAGTCGTTGTATGCCAAATCGTTTGCATTTCATTACCAGATGTTGGAAATCCTCGTCTTCGTTACAAACTGGACACTTCGGGCTATCTACCATTTTCAGTCTATGTAGGTGAGTGCGAGTCTGACCGTGACCAAATCTCATTCTATTTACGGTTGTTATGAATTGTCTGTTGGGCACTGTTTTTTTGTACCACCAAGGTTGGGCGGGCGGGCTTCCTTGGATCATTTTATACCACCGACCTTTTTCTTCACTAATAAGATTCCAATATTCTTTCCAGAGCAATGTGAGATGCTGGTTTGTTTTGGATTTGAAGTCTGTAAATGGAACTTTCATAGAAGAGGAGTGGTCTTCATCAGGTGTGTTTCTTGTTATTTCATCAGCTTTTTCATTCCCAGTGATGCCACTATGAGACTGTACCCATACGAAATGTATTCTCTTTCCCATATTACTAAAGTTATATAAGAGTTGTTTTATATAATAAACTAAATAATTTACATCATATTTACAGTTATTATTATTAAATGAATTTAATGCACTTTGGGAATCTGACAAAATCAAAAAGTCATTACTATTTATATTACTTATGTACAATAAGGCCTGATAAATGGCATAGCATTCGGCAGTGTATACAGAACAATCTTTAGGAATCTTAATGCATCTAGTTACACTTTGTTGTATATCATAGAAAGCTGAAGTTACTTTATCATCAGATTTTGACCCATCAGTATAAATTTTATAGAAACCTTTGTTTTCAATAAATTGCATTAATTCATTATTATTGTGTAATAAATCTGTATGCAATATAAAACTACAATTTGTTAATGCATTATAATCAAGCTTATATAAAGGCCACTGATTGTCTCTAAATAGGTTGTCATAGAACTTATGTATGTACACTGTTATTGCAAGTAATCCTGGAGTGATTCCAGATTTTAGTAATGATATATTGATATATGAATCTGTTTGTGTATTTTGTAATATTTGTGGTGGTAAAAGCCTTTTCTCTAAGCAATAATTTTTTGATGAAAGTATTTTTATACAGAATCTTTCAGCCAATTGTAACCGGCGAAATATCAAAGGTGGTATACAACTTTCAGTCTGCATGACATGTATGGGTGTTGAACACATTGCACCAGTTATTATTCTTAAAGCCTTATTTTGAATTGTATCTAACTTTTTAAGTAGAGTAAGATTAGCATTCATATATGCCAAACTACTGTAGTCGAAATGACTTCTAACAATGCTTTTGTATAGCATAGATAAGATTTGAGGGTCAGATCCCCAATGTACCCCTGCTAAGGATCGGAGAACATTTAAAGCTTTTGTAGCATTACCTAATATTTTATCAATGTGCTTCTGAAAGTTTAATTTAGTGTCCAGAAGTACACCTAGATATTTGTAATTTTGAACCCATGGCAAAGAAATATTATTGAAATTTATATAACTGTTAATTATGGGGTTTAAAACCTTTTTTGAGAATATCATAGCTGAACTTTTGGAACCACTTATTTCTAATTTTAACTTATTATTATAAAAACTATGAATTTGAAACATTGCTCTATTCAGTTTGTTAATTGCAATATTTACATCTTTATGTATAGTATAAACAAGGAGATCGTCTGCAAATTGTAAAAAATGTACATCTTTTTCTTTTAAAAATTGTTTGATCTGACAGGTATAAATATTGTATAATATAGGGGATATGGTTGCTCCTTGCATTGTTCCCTTATAGACTTTTCGTGGTTCGTGAAGTATATTGTTATATTTTAAATACATAATCCTTTCATAAAGAAAATTAAATATCCATTTATTTACTTTTCCAGGAATACCTATTTCAAACAGAACTTGTGTTAGTACAGAGGGATCCACATTATCAAATGCTCCTTTAATATCTAGGAATGTACATACTGTTGCAGAATGACTAAGGAAAGATGATTTTATGTCATGTATTAATGTTGTGAAGCTCTCTGTTGCACTACGACCTTTCCGGAAGCCAAATTGTTCTGCAGGTAATATATTGTTACTCTCTAAATAATAATCTAATCTTACTTTTAACATATTTTCAAACACTTTACCTAAACAGGAGGACAAAGATATAGGTCTATATGAATCACTGTCACCTGCGGGTTTATTGGATTTCAATATTGGAATCACACATTGTGTTTTCCAGGTAGATGGTATCATTTGTAATTCCCAAAGACTATTATAAATGTCGAGTAATTTTGTTTGTGCATTCTTGTGTAATTTTTTAATGAGAATGTAAGTTATATCGTCAAGGCCCGGACTGGTGTCTTTCCTAGATTTTAAAGAAATTTCAAGTTCTTCAAATGTAAATGGTTCTGTAAGAAAATGAGCATTTGAATGTCCATTAAAGTTAAAAGCTGTTTCCAGATTAACAAAATCTATGTTTTTTCCAGGAGCTGATAGTGGTGCATATTTTTCTAAGAAGTCTGAAATCCATTCATCATTCTTTGGCTGTTTCGGGGAAGATGCCCTTTTAAACCTTCTTATGTAATTCCAAATGTTACTTATTGGAGTATACCTATTAAAACTTTCACATAATTTCGCCCAACTATTTTTTTTCTTTTCCCTAAGCAGTAATTTTTTTGAAGCATCTATTTTTTTATACGAAATATAGTTTTCAATCGTTGGATTAGATCTGTAAAAATTTAATGCATCTTTACTTTTTTTGACTGCATCCTTACACTGATCATCCCACCAGGGGGCGGGCTTTTTAATAAGTGAGGGGATATCTTTTTTAAATTTCGGTATATATTTTTCTTTTAATTCATTTAGTATCATACAAAATCTTTCATAGGAGTTCATTGGATTAACATGACTTAAGACAACATTATTAAACGCATTTTCACTTTCTATTGTAAATCTATTCCAGTTAGCTTTACTATATATATATCGTTCATTCGGGGGTCCTACTACGTATTTTTCAATAGAGACCTGAATATCGACAATAGTTGGGAAGTGATAGCTTCCCATAGAATCTGAGTGTACGCTCCAGGTACATAAAGGAGCTACAGAAGGACTTATACAACTAACGTCAATTGCAGATGGATTATAGCCTGGTCGACCTACTGTGGTTGCTGAACCAGAGTTTAATATACACAAGTCACAATCATCAAATATATTGTAGATATCATTACCACGGCTGTTACATGTTAAACACCCAAATGCTACGTGATGAGCATTAAAGTCACCAGATACCATAATTGGTTTAGGTAGATCATTAATGACTTTCTTTAGCTTATTACTTTGGAAGCTCGGTCGACCTTGTTTCGAAGGAGGACAATAAATACATAATAATGTTAATTTCCCAGTGCCTGTATATAAAATTATAGCAACAGATTGTAACTCTTCATAAAATGGAACTGATAATATGGAATATTTATATGGGTCTTTAATTAAAATTGAAACTCCACCACGACCGCCTATACTAATTTGATTAATGCTGTTGTAATTGGGGATACGGAAATTGTGATTTTCTTTAAGCCAAGTTTCATTTAATAAACAAACATCTATATTGTTATTGCGAAGGTAATTAATAAGAAGAGGTTTTTTATTTTGAACACCTTCAATGTTATATTGAGATATTCTAATTAGACCTTGGTCCATTCGTGTTCAGGTTTTAAAGTTTTTATTAAAATATCTTGTATAACATTGCTAGTTATAGCTCTTTCCTCATTTCCAATAGTGACTAGAACGCCAACCAAAGCCTTACGAATAAAATCGTTTTTAATAATTTCGTCTATTAGTTTTTCGTTGGATAATTTTGGTACGGAGTCATTTGTGATATTGTCGGCGCTTGTTGAAGTATTAGGTACCGGGTTCAATCCCTGAGTTTTCTTTGGAAGTGCGGGTCTAATTTTAGGGGTTGGTAGTAGAGGGAAATTATTTTTATAGTTTTTTAATACATCATTCTTATTGATGTTGTCTCTTCCAGACGAAACAGCCTTAGAATAAGATACTTTGTTTTTTTTGTCCTCTATTTTTTGTTTTTTTAACGGACACTCACGAGAAATCGCTAAATGGGGGCCTTGACAATTAATACATCTCATTGTTTTGTCGGTACACTGTGAAAAGTGATGCTCTTCTGAGCAAATTGAACATTTCTGGGTAGATTTACAAATTTTCGCGCCATGATTGAATTTAAAACATTTGAAACATTGTAGTAAGGGTGCATTATATTCATGAACTTTAAATCTAAATAAATCTAAATATATATAATCGGGGAGTACATTTGAAAGAAAAGTTATACTGACAGTCTTAAAAGTTTTTAAAACGCCATTCTCTTTTTTGGTGAATCTGCGAACGGCTACGATTTCATATGGGGAACTTAGTTTTTTAAATAGCTCTTCATTGCTGATACTAGTGGGTACGAAACGTAGAACTCCTATAGTCTCAACTGCCGACGCTGGGATGTATGCCTTGAATTTATGTTTTACTAAGAATTCTTCATTTTGTAAAAAATTGTTGGCGTGGTTAGATTGTGAGAAGGTCACACAAATTTTATTTTGATTGACTCTTTTTATGTTAACAATGCCTTTAACTTCATTTTTGAAAAGATTGGTCGTGACGATCGGGTTGTTGTTTCCTAGTTTTTCGTGTTCTTTGTAACTTTCGACGAAAACACAATACTCAGCACTCACCGCATTATCAGCAAAAAGTCTTTTATATCCGTGTTTGATGAAAGGTTTATAAAAATCTTCCGAAGCATCCTTATCTGCATCGCTCG